GGCAGGTACTAATTATCTTGGTTTTCCCCCCAAATTTTAATTATTGGGCTGCAATTTCTTGATGTTAATGTGGTCCTTTTGTTGTTTTGGTGTTTAGGGCCAACAATTTAAACATTTTCGTTTTGAAATTTTGATTAATGGTTTTGAAGTAGTTTCTTTCAGGGTTGGTGGGGATTGGAATTACTGGATTCATCCTTGTCTCTGGAATCACCTTTGCAGCATGGTCGATAAACAAGCAGAATTGTTCCAGTGAGTTGTTTTCTTCAAGAATGCTTTTCTTTTTTGTTTCTTTTTGAGCTGTTCTTATCTGATTGATGAACAAATTTGCATATACGTAGAACAAAAGGCACAAATGGTGGCCTTAAGTACGCCCCAAGAATTATTGTTGGACTCTGATTCTGGAAATGATAAGCTTAGTGAAGATCAAAAAGAAGATAACAGTGTCAATGCAGATGATGATAATCATGAGGAATTTTCTTCATATACAGAAAATGATGCAACTCTCAACAAAAATCGAATTGGTGCCGTTGCTGATGTCGAGGAGTTATCAGGAAATGATGTTGAATCTTCATCTAATAATGATAATGTCAATAATGTTGCTTTCTTGCAAGAGGATATCCAATCTGATTCCTCGTTAGCTGTTACGTCGGTCGCTTATGGAAGATCTGAGATCGATTCGGACGTTGATTCTGGTTTTAAAGATGTAAATTCTGGTACAGAAGTGTTAACTTCTGAACCTGAAATGAATGATGAACCGGATAACTCGCCTGAAACGAAGTATGATTTCAGCTCTGAAAAGTTACCAGTCTATGATGATAGTTCATCAAATTATAATTCTGGCTACCAGGATGAGACAGCTGATCCTCCTGTAAATGAAATCGACGATTCTTCATTGCATGAATTGGGATTAGTTGACAAAGAGACCGTGACCGAATCATTGGAAGGAGTTCTGAACCCTGGCAAAACCAAACAGCTCTTATCTGAGGAAACTGCATCGACCATAGAACAACAAATAGGAAGAGGATTATCCAAAGCTGCGTTTGTCTCTGTCACAGCTTATCCACTGGCAGATGATCAAGAAGAACTAAATCATGAAACAACCATGAATAGTTCTGCTGCCGAACCGGAACTACAAGGGAATTTATTTTCTTCTGCAGGTGTTCCTGCTCCTCTGGTTTCTGCAGCTGTTAAGACACTTCCTGGCAAGGTTCTAGTGCCTGCAGTTGTGGATCAGGTTCAGGGGCAGGCCTTGGCAGCACTGCAAGTTTTAAAGGTACTTCGTGATGCCGTTCCAAATGGCACATGCATCGGAATGTTCATTTTGTTGGATTGATCTTAGCATATCCTACTCTGCCTACTGCCCTAAATATTGTAAATTCTTCAGGTGATCGAGTCTGAAGTTGAGCCGAGTGGTCTATGTACTCGTCGGGAATATGCTCGTTGGCTAGTGTCTGCAAGCTGTGCGCTTTCAAGGTAATTATGATTGCAGATTTAGTTGACTGAAGGATTTAGACTTTAGGAATCTGATGGTCCGATGAATTGTTATAATCATAGGAACACTGCATCTAAAGTATACCCAGCAATGTATATAGAGAATGTTACCGAGCTTGCTTTTGATGATATTACTCCTGAAGACCCTGATTTTGCATCTATTCAAGGTCAGTAGGATATTGGAGTTTTGGGATATGAGCTTTTCTGTTCTACCTTCTAATTCATCTATATGTTTCAGGTTTGGCAGAAGCTGGACTGATTTCGAGCAAGCTTTCGAGACATGATATTCTTTCTTCATTGGACGACGACGAGGGTCCTTTTTATTTCTCTCCCGAAAGGTTATTTTCTTTTGTTCGTTTTGGTTTGCATTATTCTTTTGATTTCCATCAACATTATAAATCTTTCCGGTTATTGATTAGATATATCAAATCACCTGATGTAATTTGACATTTGAAAGGATGGATCAAATCCTTTTATTCTTGTGAGACTCCAATTGGTTGGAGAGGGGAACAAAGCATTTATTATAAGAATATGGAAACCTCTCCCTAATAGACGCGTTTTAAAATCGTGAGGCTGACGGCGATACGTAACGGGCCAATGTGATCAATATCTGTTAAGCGGTGAGCTCGGGCTGTTACAGATGGTATCAGAGCTAGACACGGGGCGATGTGGGGGGTGGATTGTGAAATCCTACATCAGTTGGAGAGGGGAACAAAGCATTTATTATAAGGGTGCGAAAACCTCTCCCTAGTAGACGTTTTCTAAAACCGTCAGGCTGACGGCGTTATGTAATGGGCCAAAGCGGACAATATCTGCTAGTGGTGAATTTGAGCTGTTACAAATGGTATTAGAGCCAGACATCGGGTGGTGTGCCAGTGAGGACGCTAGGTCCCTAAGGGGGATGAATTGTGAGATTCCACCTCGGTTGGAGAGGGGAACGAAACATTCCTTGTAAGGGTGTGGAAACCTCTCCCCAGTAGACGTTTTAAAATCGTGAAGCTGACGGCGATATGTAATGGGCCAAAGCGTACAATATCTGTTAGCGCGGTGGGCTTGGGCTGTTACAATTACTTACTAATCTTGGAACCTTTTAAAATATTTAATTGCATTGACTGGTCTTCTTTGAGTTGCGGTTGTTTCTCATCAACCGTAAGATGAACTAACTTGCCTCTGCCATTTATTGTCCAAAACTGCAGCCCGCTATCACGTCAAGATCTTGTGAGTTGGAAGATGGCCCTAGAAAAAAGACAGCTACCTGAGGCAGATAGGAAGGTCAAATTATTTGAAACTTGACCTTTTGTTTTCCACATTTAGAATTTTGTGTTTACAAATTATCATCTTTACCGAACTTTGGCTCGACTAAAATGCAGACGCTCCACCAAGTTTCTGGATTTATCGATACCGATAAGATCCATCCAGATGCTTGTCCTGCGCTAGTTGCCGATCTTTCTGTCGGAGAACATGGAATAATCGCTCTTGCATTTGGTGCGTACATATAATAGCAATTCGTGTTTTTTTTTTTTCCCTTTCAAAATTCCTTTCCAATTTTAAAATTAACTTTGCTTCTTAAAGGATACACAAGGCTATTCCAGCCGGATAAGCCTGTAACAAAAGCACAAGCTGCCATTGCTCTTGCAACTGGGGAGGCTTCTGATATCGTAAGCGAGGAGCTTGCAAGGATTGAAGCCGAGTCAATGGCGGAGAACGCTGTGGCTGCACACAGTGCTTTGGTAGCTCAAGTTGAGAAAGATATTAACGCCAGCTTCGAGAAGGAACTTTCCATCGAAAGGGAAAAGGCTGACGCTGTGGAGAAAATGGCAGAAGAGGCAAAGCAAGAATTGGAAAGATTAAGATCTGAAAGAGAGAGAGATAATATCGCCTTGATGAGGGAACGTGCTGCTATCGAATCGGAAATGGAGGTTCTTTCGAGGTTAAGAAATGAGTTGGAGGAGCAGTTGCAAGGCCTGATGAGTAATAAAGTAGAGGTATCTTATGAAAAGGAAAGAATCAACAAACTCAGGAAAGAAGCTGAAATTGAAAATCAGGAGATTTCCCGCTTGCAATATGAGCTTGAGGTTGAGAGAAAGGCGTTGTCCATGGCCAGGTATGGTTTTGCAACTCTTTTCTTGTATGAGGCTGACACTGAACATGAAATATTTCATTGAATTTAGCTGTGTTTATAATGGAATAGTTAAATAATAAGAAATAAGAAAAAAGGCTAACTTGAGCTAGCTCGCCTAGATAAGACACGTAACGGCCCACATCAGTTGGACCGTTACAATCGGTATCAGAGCCAGACACTTGACGATATGTCAACAAGGAGGCTGAGCCCGGAAGGGAGGTAGACACTAGGTGGTGTGCCAGTGAGGATGTTGGGCTCCGAAAGGGGTGGATTGTGAGATCCCACATTAGTTGGAGAGTGGAACAAAACATTCTTTATAAGAGTGTGGAAACCTCCTCCTAGCATACGCGTTTTAAAACATTGAGGGGAAACCCAAAAAAGACAATATCTGCGTTCTCGTGGAATTTAAAAATGCCTTCAATTTAACTTTGACGCAGATCTTGGGCGGAGGAAGAAGCAAAAAGAGCAAGAGAACAAGCAAAAGCACTAGAGGAGGCAAGAGATCGCTGGGAAAAGCGGGGCATCAAAGTAGTCGTCGACAGCGATCTCCGGGAACAGGAATCTGCTGGAGATACTTGGCTCGATTCCAGCAAACAGTTTGCAGTGGAGGAAACGGTTGGTAGGGCCGAGAACTTAATGGACAAGCTTAAAGGAATGGGTAGAGAAGTAAGAGGGAAATCCAAAGACATAATTGAGATGATCATCCAGAAGATAGCTCTGCTGATATCAAACTTGAGACAATGGGTCCGGAATGCTGGTGAGAAGGCTGAAGATGTAAAGAATGTGGGCATCGCAAGGGCAAGTAGATCGGCAACTGAACTGCAACAGAGCAGTGCAGAGATGGGGTTGGCCCTGAAGGAGGGAGCTAAGCGAGTTGTGGGAGATTGTAGGGAAGGAGTAGAGAAAATTTCCCAAAAGTTCAGAACATCGTACGGTTAAGAAACAAGCGATGGAGCAGGTGAGTGATGATGATGTACTGTAATTCTCAAATAAAGTTGGCGTTCAACTTTCAAAATTTTGCTAACCTACTTTCTATAATGGAAACTTCAATCCATTTCTACCCACAGCCACAATCTAAAACAGGATAATCGGTTCCATTTTGTTCATTTTCTTTTGCTGATTTAATTCGCTTTCCTCGTTTTTTTTTTTAAACATTTTTAATGAATTGAACTAAATCAAACTGGAGAAAGCCCAATAATAATGTCTAGAGAAAGCCCAATAACATTTACTGCAGAAAGCCCAATAATATTTATTGGATAAAGCCCAATGAAGAAGGCCCAATAACATTTGCTGGAGAAAGCCCAATAAGATTTACTGGAGAAAGCCCAATAAGATTTACTGGAGAAAGCCCAATATACCAAGATAATATTAAGGTAGAAAGCCCAAAAGATCCTTTGGATACCCGGCACTCGTCAATATCTCCTTATAAAGGAAAGCTTCTGAAACCCTAGTTCTTCAGCTTCGCTTGCCTCCGATCACTTGGTTTTAGTCCGTCCGAGAAGGTACCAACCCTTTTTTTCTCTCTCTCTTATACGATAATTGAACAGAATATTTCTCAGATACGTTGTTTGCTCTAGATTTTGATTCTACGATATTGATTTCGTCCAAGAGTGTCAACTTTATTTGTGAATGTATTTCTTTTTTTTTTTTTTTTTTTTTTTTTAACAGGCAATGGCTCCGAAGCAGCCGAATACTGGTCTCTTCGTGGGACTTAACAAAGGGCACATTGTTACAAAGAAAGAGTTGGCCCCGCGCCCCTCTGATCGTAAAGGAGTGAGTTAATTATGCACCAACTCAATCTAGGGTGTACATTGCGTTATCTTATATTCTCTTCAAACTATTCCGTTTTTATAATTTTATGTAGTTGATTCTGTGCGTCTATGATCTTTTTGGGGATTTTAGTGATGTCTACAACCAGGGATTGCCTTCGACAAAATGAAACTTGGGAGTGTTGATTTAATGAGATATTTGTAATCTTATGTATAATGAATTCATGTTATTTACTTAGCTCAAATGCAAGGGGATAGGTCTTGATCATACATTTGATTGCTTGTGAATTGGAAGCATGAAGTGAACCTTCTAGTTTTGGTCCGTTATTAGTTTCCTGAAATGATTTTCCGACTGTTACCCTTCAAAAGTTCTTATTGACGGTAATGCTTAATGTTTGTTTGTGCCCAATTAGATCGTTAATGTTTATAAATAGTACAAGAATTCTCATTGTGAGGCTTTTGAGCCATATGCATATAATTACTCTGTTTTCATATCATACAAATTTAAGCTTGTTTGTTTTGGAATGTTTTTGCTGCCATGTTATTTTAGCTGTTGATAGCTAGAAGTAATTGACATTAATGATTAATTTTGACATGAATTTGATTGATACCATAGAAAAGCAGCAAGAGAGTTCTCTTTGTGAGGAGTTTGATCCGGGAAGTTGCTGGTTTTGCACCATATGAGAAGAGAATCACTGAGCTTCTTAAAGTTGGAAAGGACAAGAGAGCACTAAAAGTGGCCAAGAGAAAGTTGGGAACTCACAAGAGAGCTAAGAAGAAGAGAGAGGAGATGTCCAGCGTTCTCCGCAAGATGAGGTACTTATACAAGTCTTTCAATTTCTCTAACTATGATTGAATTGCTTCCTCGTAATTTAACTTGTTTCTTTGATCTTCCTTCTTGAAACAGAGCTGGTGGAGGCGGTGAGAAGAAGAAATGAAACGCGTGTGGTTAATTTTGAAGAAACATGGTTTTAGATTGTTATGTTTGTTATCCAAAATCTTCAATGGATTCTTAATCCTTATTTTAGATGAGTTATGATGGCATGTATTAGAACTTGTAAGTCTTCTTTTTGGAAGGAAACTTGCGGCCATTTGTATCTCTTTTGATATAATTGCCATTAGCTTCTTACAAGGAATGCAGCCTTTTTTTTTTTAATAGCCTCTGTTAACCCTTTATTTGGTTCCACAAAAATGGTAGTAATTTCAAAGATTCTCCACTATTGCTGGATTCTGGACCGATTTCCTTGTGCTCAAAATAGGTCCCAATCTTCTTAGCTGATCATCCATCTTTCAAACTATGGTCATCCATCTTTCAAACTATGTGTCTCGAAGGCAACGAACGAGACTGTGAGACTGGAAAGTAAAGAAGACGAGTTCATAGCAAAGCTTAGTTGGAGATAGTTGGAGAGATTTGATGCTAACATAAAAACCTCTATCTTCCCGCCTACCAATGGAAGAGAGAACCGCTTGGACATCTTTGAGAGAACCGCATGATATAAGAAAGCTGGACTCTAATGATTTTTTTTTCTATTAATTATCCTTTCAAATTATTCGACAATTATTTGAGGACTGATAATGTGAGTATAAGAATACAAATCAGCGATTAGACATCAAGTCTTTTCTTTTATCAAACTAATTATTAAAACATATATAATTTTTTTTTACTAAAAAAACATTAAATCTCATTTATCTGTGGACAAGAAATCCTCCTACTTAAGGAATCCACGTCAAACTAAAGTGGGATGTTGTTGAGCTACAAAAGAATCTATGTCGCGTCGGTATTCCAAGGGAAGCAAGCCGTTGATTAGGTGCGACTTTGGAAAGTCGTCTCTAGCTACTTCCTGATCGGTTCTGTCTCCGCCTTCCCTATGGGTTGAAATCTTCTCTTCACTCATCTTTAGTGGTGGTGCTGCTAATTCATAGCTTCCTCCTCATGGCCGCTGCCGACGAGATTGGACAGCCGCTGCAATTCGACGTCGAACACACTATATTTGTTGCGGTGGGAACGGATGTCCACGACTCCGAAACCACTCTGATTTGGGCTGTGCAGAACTTCGCTGGGAAGAAATTTTGTGTGCTTCACGTTCATCAGCCTGCCCATCTTGTTGTTCCTCGGAGTGAGTTCTGATTCTTTGCAATTTCATTTATGTTACTTCACTTTGATCATGTTCTGCTTCGTTTTCTATTTGTTTCGAGTAATCGAAAACTTCTACGGTCGATTCGCGACCTCTTTGTTTCTTTATAACGTTATCTGTCTGGAAGTTAGTATGATGAGTTTTATAGCACAGCTTAGCTTATGTATATCATATATGGTCTCATAAAATGTTATCCTTACATGCAGAAAATGAAGAGCCGTCTTCCAATACACCAAAAGAACATGTAACAAAGGCATTTGATGAACCTGAAAGGCAAAAGCCTTTAGAACTTCTTAATCAATATGTTTTCATTCTTGCCAAACTGGGGGTACCATTTCAATCCCCATACTGATCAATGAAAAGCGTTTTATTGGGTGTTACTCAAATCAATGAATTGACTTAATTTGTAGGTACAAGCGCGAAAAGTATGGACCGAGACGAACAGCGTTGAGAAAGGGATTGTTGAAATTATTTCTCAGTGCAGTATTAAATGGCTAGTCATGGGTTTAGACGCAGAAAGATACAATCTCAAGTATGCATCATTTACTGTTATTACATTGCATAGAATACACTTCAGTTACATTGCCTAATTACATTGTTAGGACGTCCAAGAAAGCTTTCTATGTATGCCAACAAGCACCCATATGCTGCCACATTTGGCTTGTCTGCAGAGGGCGCCTTATATTCTCAAGGTAGTTTGATGTTTTAGAATTTGAATTGGTTTTGATTTCAAGGATGGAGGATGCTCTTTATACTTAATTTTATATCTGTCGTGACACTTCGATGTCTTCCATGTTTATTAAATGTCAAACTTGTGAGATCCCACGTTGGTTGGAGAGTGGAACGAAACATTCTTTATAAGAGTGTGGAAACCTCTCCCTAACAGACGCGTTTTGAAACCATGAGGAGAAGCCCAGAAGGGAAAGTCTAGAGAAACACTATCTGTTAGCTGTGGGCTTGGACTGTTACAAATGGTATCAGAGCTAGACACTGGGTGGTGTGCCAGTGAGGATGCTAGGCTCTTAAGGGGGTGGATTGTGAGATCCCATATTGGTTGAAGAGGGGAACGAAGCATTTTTTATAAAGGTACTTTCCCTAACAGACACATTTTAAAACCTTAAGGGGAAACCCGGAAGGGAAAGCCTAGAGAAGACAATATTTTCTAGTGATGGGCTTGGGCTGTTACAAATGGTATCAGAGCCAAGCACTGGGCGGTGTGTCAGCGAGGACACTGGACCCTCAAGGGGGATGGATTGTGAGATCCTATGTTGGTTGGAGAGGGGACTTTTTAAGGGTGTGGAAACCTCTCCCTAATAGACACATTTTAAAACCTTGAGGGGAAGCCCGAAAGGGAAAGTCTAGAGAAGACAATATCTGCTAGCGGTGGGATTGAGTTGTTACAAATGGTATCAGAGCCAGGCACCAGCGATAACACTAGGTCCTCAAGGGGAACAAAGCATTCTTTATAAGGGTGTGGAAACCTATCCTTAACAGACGCATTTTGAAACCTTGAGGGGAAGCCTAGAAGGGAAAGCCTAGAAAAGACAAAGGGGAAGTCCGAAAGGAAAAGCCTAGAGAAGACAATATCCGCTAACGGTGGGCTTGGACTGTTACAAATGGTATCAAAGCCATGCACCGAGCGGTGTGTCAATGAGGACGTTGGGCTCGTAAGGGGGTGGATTGTGAGATCCCACATTGGTTGGAGAGGAGAACGAATCATTCTTTATAAGGGTGTGGAAACTTTTCCCTAACATAAGACCTTGCTTGAGGGAAAACCCAGAAGGAAAAGCCCAAAGAGAACAATATCTACTAGCCGTGGGCTTGGGCGGTTACATAAATATTATTTTTCTTTCTTCAATTGACTGCATGTATTATTCGTTTATCGTTACCTAAAAAGATTCCTATTAAAACAGGGAGGGCGGAATGGGAAGATTCAATCCATCACTGCTGCAAACTTCGGAAATAGGACTGGACCAATCTAACCATCTGAGACTGGTTTGTTGAGTATTTCTTCATGTGCTCTATTGGTTTCCGACAAAGGAGATAGCATAATCACGTTGTTGCAGGACTTCGTAGATGCTCAACAAAAGGAGTATGCATCTGATAGATCTCAAGGTCTGGTGGATCCAAAACATTCCAATAATGAAGCCATTGGTACTTCAAGAACAAGACTGTTGTTAAGGAATGAGGTGAGCAAAGATATCCCCTCAACTAATTTCAAGGTATTTTCTGATTGTTGCCTGAAGTAGTATTAATTTTTTTTGAAAGAAACAGTAGCTTTTATAGGTCTTGACTGATAGTAGGGTAGTTAAGGTTGATAGAAGTTGTTTGTATCATATGCAAGATTTAGTAGTTTCAACCTACATGGGCACGTGGATTAGAAAGCTTCGGCCCCGTTTGATGATCATTTGGTTTTTCAAAAATAAGCTTATAAACACTACTTCCACATATAAGTTTCTTTGTTTTATGCCTACTTTCTACCAATGTAACTGCGAGATCCCACGTTAGTTGGAGAGGGGAATGAAGCATCATTTATAAGGGTGTGGGAACCTCTCCCTAATAGACACATTTTAAAACCATGAAGTTGACGGCGATACGTAACAGGCTAAGACGGATAATATCTGCTAGCAGCGTGTTTTGGTTGTTACAAATGGTATCAGAGGTAGACACCGGGTAGTGTACCAGCGAGGACACTGGGTTCCCAAGGAGGGTGGATTGTAAGATCCCACATTAGTTGGAGAGGGGAACAAAGCATCCTTTATAAGGGTGTGGAAACTTTTCCTTAATAGACGCATTTTAAAAACCGTGAGACCGATGGCGATACGTAACGGGCCAAAGCGGACAATATCTGCTAGCGGTGTGTTTGGGCTAACAAATGGTATCAAAGCCAGACACGAGGCAATGTGCCAGCGATGACTTTGGGCCCCCAAGGAAGGTTGATTGTGAGATCCCACATTAGTTGGAGAGGGCAACGAAGCAACCTTTACAAGGGTGTGGAAACCTCTCCTTAATAGACGCGTTTTAAAACCATGAAGTTGACGGCGATACGTAACGGGCTAAAACGGACAATATCTGCTAGCAGTGTGTTTAGGCTGTTACAAATGGTATCAGAGCTAGACACCGGGCAGTGTGCCAACGAGGATGCTAGGCCCCCAAGGAGGGTAGATTTTGAGATCCCACATTAGTTGGAGAGGGGAATGAAGCACCCTTTATAAGGGTGTGGAAACCTCTCCTTAATAGATGCGTTTTAAAAACGGTGAGGCTGACGGCGATACGTAACAGGCCAAAGCAGACAATATCTGTTAGCGGTAGGCATGGGCCGTTACAGTGGTTTTTATAAAGGATTTTTTATATCATCTTACAGGTTAATTCATTAGAAAGCTCATGTGGGGAGGAGGTAAAAAAAAGAAAAAAGATGGAAGAAATTTTAGAGACAGGTAAAAAACTAGCAGAACAGATGAACAAAAAGCGTGACAAGCTCTCGAAAGAACTATACGACGTCGAAGAGCAGAAATTATTTCTTGAAAGAAAAGCTTCAGAGTACCGTTGTGAAGTGAAGGAGTTGGAGAAGAAAATGTTTGATGCTGTTGGCCTCTTGGTAAGCTTCAGGGAAAAACGAGATAAGTTGCAGATAGAACATGAAGAAGCAAAGAACAAGCTTAGACTGCTGAAGAACATGCTTAAAATGGAACCTACATGCTTTCACAGCCTAGAAATGCCTACATTCTCATTCATGGAGATAATTGAGGCCACCAGAAACTTTGACCCTTCCTGGAAGATTGGTGAGGGAAGACATGGTAGTGTTTATAAAGGCCACCTTCGCCACGTGGACGTTGCTCTAAAAATGTTGCCTTCATACGGTTCTCATTCACAATCGACGTTCCAATACGAGGTAAATCTTATTTATAAGCTTAATTTTCAAAAACTTGAAGCGTTCGATAATGTACTTTTTTGGATTTTGTATTGGTGGGGAACAGATTGAAGTTTTGAGTAGGGTAAGGCATCCAAACCTGGTTACAATTATTGGGGCATGTCCAGAATCTAGGTTGATAGTCTATGAGAATTTGAAAAATGGCAGCTTGGAAGAGCACCTATCGTGCAAAGGTCGATATCGCCCGCTTCCATGGCAGATACGGATTCGGGTTGCTGCTGATATCTGCTCAGCTCTTATATTTCTCCATTACAACGAGCCTTGCATTGTCCATGGAGACATAAAACCAAGCAAAATCCTACTTGATGCCAATTTTGTTGCCAAACTAGGTGGCTTGGGCATCTCTCGCTTGATCCCACGAGAATGTCTTGAGATTGGAAGGTTCACTCCAGAATCAGACGTTTACTCTCTTGGTGTTACTTTTCTGCGTATGTTAACTGGCAGAGCAGCTTCGGGAATTGTAAAAGATGTACAATATGCTTTAGAGAATGATAAGATTGGCGCCGTTTTGGACTCATCAGCTGGAGATTGGCCTCATGATCTAGCAGAACAATTGGCTCTTGTGGCTTTGAGATGCTGTGCGAAGGAAAAGTCGGATCGGCCTGACCTCGTCTCGGAAGTATGGAGTGTTTTGGAGCCTATGAGATCCATTGCCTCAGCATCGTTTTCAAGTTCGAAGCAACACTCTCGAGTGCCTGCCCATTTCACGTGTCCTATTTTTCAGGTAAGACTCGTGCTAAGTTATGCTTCATTCGATTCAAACGATGCCTGTCGTCATGCCAAAAAGAGCAAAAGGAAGGAAATATGCCTAACTTTTGATTGGTTTTTACAGGAAATGATGAAAGATCCACTCATTGCTGCAGATGGATTCACATACGAAGCTGATGCAATAAAAGGATGGTTCAAAAGTGGGCATGACACTTCTCCCATGACAAATCTTAAACTTGAACACTGTAATCTTGTGCCAAATTGTGCTCTTTTGAATGCAATTCAAGAGTGGCAGCAGCAGCTATGACATATGTGTGATATCATGAGGGAATTCTCATTACTAATCCAACAAAATCATTATATCCAATGTCTAGAAACTGATTAAGTTTCAAGGCATTGACAAAATCATTCTAATAGATTTTCTACGTCAATCCAGTACATCGATGAAATTACAAATTCTCGTCGATCTAAAATCGATTCTAATAACTTCACGTCTCGGTTCCGGGACTTTGAGGTCTTAGAGCTGAGGCAGCAGATTCATCAGCTTTACCTGTTCCAAGATTTTGAGGTCCAGGCGCTATCGTGGCCGGTTCTTCGACAGTTCCTATTACAAGTTCGTATATGTCAGAGAGATAGAGAGGGAGGAAAATGTAGTGATTTGAATTTAGCAACCTTGAGGCTGTTCTTGGGATCCACTCTCGCTTTCTGCTGCAAGATTGGCTTGGACTTTCAGCTGCTCTTCTGTAAGCTTTAGGTACTCTTCAGAGCTATATGCTTTGCTTGCTGATGGAGATTCATCAGCTATTTCTACATTTGAAAACAAGCTTTCATTATCATATCATAATCGATATCAGTTCATAGACACGATGCCCAACAGCGGGGCTGTTCCATAATCTATGACACTTCCTGTTGAATATAACTGCAGGACTTTCTATGTAACTTCGAAACCTTTCGTTACGATATGAGTACTGTTAACAAACAAGCACATGGATGATAAATAACCAAATCACTCACTGGGTTCAGCTACTGCAGCAGGATCTTCTGCTTTAGAAACAGAAGGTGGATTTGAGAAGGTATTGGATCTGCTAGAATTGTATGGGCTGTTAACCGAACTCGAAATTTCATCGAGACCAATTTCTCGCTCAAGCGTGGTCTTGAATTCTCTAGAAACATCCTACATAGATCAATGAAGAGCAATAAACTACGTTCATAAGGTCTCCAAGAAGTCATGCTGGAAAATCTCGAAAAACCGAAATGTAACCTGAAGCTCTCTTATGGTGGGTTGAAATGCACGTAAGGTCTTCCCCAGATTCCGAGCAACCTGCATAAAAATAAGCTAAGTCAAACTACATTCTTTCCACAAGGAGCAGCCTCCAAGTGGAAAAAGCTCAATCTCCCTAAGTTGACATTGGGGTGACATTGGGGTGGGTGAAGTTGACATTGGTCCGTTACGTATCGCCATCAGCCTCACGATTTTTAAATGCGTACTATGGAGAGGTTTCCACACCCTTATAAGGAATGCTTCGTTCCCTACTCCAACCGATGTAGGATCTTATAATCTACTCCCCTTGGGAGCCCAGCGTCCTCGCTGGCACACAACTTGGTGTCTAGCTCTGATACCATTTGTAACAACTCGAGCCCACCACTGCAGATATTGTCCGCTTTAGCCCGTTACACATTGCCGTCAGTTTCACGATTTTTAAAACGCGTCTACTAGGGAGAGGTTTCCACACCCTTATAAGGAATGTTTCGTTCCCCACTCCAACTGATGTGCGGTCTCACAATCAACACCCCTTGAAAGCCCGGCGTCCTTACTGGCACACAGCTCGGTGTCTGGCTCTGATATCATTTGTAATAGCCCAAACCCACCGCTAGCATATATTGCCTGCTTTGGCCCGTTATGTATCGCTGTCAGCCTCACGGTTTTTAAAACACGTCTACTAGGGAGAGGTTTTCACATACTTATAAAAAATTATTCGTTTCCCTCTCCAATTGATGTGGGATCTCACAAAGATTGCCCATCTCGATTTATAACAACAAATTACTGAATAACATTAACATTCAATCTTCTAATTTCATATTGTTTCAGTCTCAAAACTTGAAGTCATTCTTACTTTTTTACAAACTTGTGGAAACATAAACAAGCTACTTATTGACCTTCTGGGTCTTTTGAGATCTCCAAAGCCAACCCAGCGTTCTTCTCTCATTTTGGTGAATACTCACAGATAACCACTAATATTGAGGTTTTTTAAAAACAAAGTTCAGCACAAGGGACACCTATGAGGCAGCCTATGCCATCACTTTTTCATTATGTAGTTCCACCTGGAGAAGTCCCTCGGGGGAAGAAATGAACAGACACTGCACTCCCCTAACCAAGATGTTTAAAATCATATCAAGTATTGCCAGTAATGGGTGCAGGATTTCGGTTGGAGAGGGGAACGAAGCATTTCTTATTAGAGTATGGAAACCTCTCCCAGTCATACGTATTTTAAAACCTTGAGGGGAAGCCCTTGAAAGGAAACCCTGAAGAGAACGATATCTACTAGCAGTGGGCTTGGGCTGTTACAAATGGTATCAGAGCCAGTCATTGGGCGGTATACTAGCAGGACGTTGGGCCTCCAAGGGGGTGGATTGTGAGATCCCACATCGGTTGAAGAGGGGAACGAAATATTCATTATAAGCGTGTCTTAAAACGTTGAGAGGAAGCCCTTGAAGGGAAAGCCCAAAGAGGACAATATCTACTAGCGGTGGGCTTGAGCTGTTAAGGAGAACTCTGAAGCACCTCCTCCTCCATCGAGAAACAACATCTAGTCCGAGCCAAACAAAACCAAACAAGCTCATCCACCCCTTCCCCTCACATGCTTTTTTGAAAGTACATTAACAATCGGAGGCCTATCAATAACATTAGAAGCTAACTTCCTTGACGTCAACAACCATAAAACCTACCAACTAATCACACAGTGGTTCATGTCGCAGTGGCTCATGACAATAAAGACTGGAGTATTAAGGTAAGTCGGGTTTTATGTTTAGGGTTCAACTTTGAGCAACAGCAACAACTTCAAAACCAAACAGAATATACCTTAAACAAGATGAAACATAATTTGTGTACATAATTTTATCACAAGCTATAATATATAAACAAGAGAAACACATTTAAGGATGCCAAATATCTTCAAATTTTCTGTCATCTAAATGATCCAAACCACTCACCTCAGCAAGACCCTTGGGACCAAACACTAACAGAGCCACAACCCCAATAACCAATGCCTCAGGAGCTCCAACCCCAAACAAAGATGCAAAAACTGCTTTCCCCTTCGGAATTCTCTTCCTCCTCTCTGCGACAAATCCATTTCAAAGAACATAAAAAATGAAGAAAAAAGTCAACAAACACTTAATTCATACAAATATGAGAAAAAATCGAATCAATAATACAAAGAACATTCATACCGATGAACTTTCCTCTGGTTGAAATACCCAGATGCTTTAAACCGCTCCATGGAGAAAAAAGGCGGAGACCCAGTGGGAAATTACACAAGGAGAGACGAATTTTAGGGTTTCTGGAGTGTATCGTGGGCAAGGAAGATGAAGCGAGAGAAGATGAGGAAGACGGAGAAAATGGGAATGTGGCGGCCGAAACTTTGGAGGCCATGGCTAAGAGAACGACCATGAACACAGCTTCAGTCCTTTCTGAGTCAGCATAGCCATGGATTTTGTACACTAATACAAACAGAATTGGAGATAAGGTCGTTTATTAAATGATTTAAACCCTTTTAGCCTTAGGTACAAGTCCTAAACGCCCAAATTTAAAAACACGTGGAAGCTATATCTATTTACGGAAATACCCCTCTGGGTACTCACATTGGGCCCATTTGGGCAGGTTTGTTTGGACCAATTGGGCCTAAATCATAAATGGGCCGACATGAATGGCTCGTTGATTGCTCGGCCCAAGATCTAATTTTAGTAACGTACGCACGTTAACGGCGCGTGCACTCGTGTAATTTCCACGTCATATAATTCCTTATTTTCTTTTTTTCTTTTTTTGCACATTTATAATTTATTTTCCTTATTTTCTTTTTTTGGCCGGACTGAAACACGAACAGGGCTTCATTTTTATGCCTTTATATTTTCTCATACAAACCTTCCTTTATTCTCACTCTGTAGAAAGAAACTCTCCCAAAAAAACTGCTTCTCGCCTCGCCACCCATCACTTTCTCGAATTTTGCAGCCCCTTTTTCTCCGGCCTGACGCTCTATAACTCTTTCCAAATCGGCCCATTTACGATCCGATCTGCCGCCTTCTTTTTTTCTCGCAATCGATCTTTGTCCTTACTGGTACGTGAACCGATCACACTCAGTTTCGTGATTTTTATTTGTATTCGCGTATTGCCTTTGTATGTAACTTAATGTGTCGATTATAGATCATGTGCCCGAGTTCTTGAAATGGTTGTTTCGTTGTTTTCTTGGTGGACAATTTTTGTTATGCTCTTGTTTGTTGATTGTTTAATTGATGATCCCAATTCTATTGCTGTGGAGGTCTATATATATATATATATGGTTCTTCTAATGGTGAACGTAACTTTTCCGAAGCGTGTTGTGTTCTGTTGAAATTATGTGGGATTTGTGTATTAATTTGAATGAGATGGCATTTTAGAAAATGCTATCTTTCCTGGTTCGTTTCCTGCTGTTCTTGATTTCTTTCTTCGTGACCCCGGAGGTGCTTTTTCGAATTTTGTGAAAAACACTATTGAATTTTATTCATTTTCTTATGATATATTTACCTTGTTTCTAGGATGTAATTTTTTGCAAGTTGTTGAAAATAGTTTTTGTTTCCCAATAATAAAGAAATTCAGATGAACGAATTCTCTAAGCTGAGTACTACACTTTGAATCTGGCTTGGTCATTTGATCATAGAGAAAGGATCTTGTCCCTTCTCCATTTCATTGTTTCTTCTTTCTTATCTGTATGCAGCACTCTATTGCAGTCAATATCTTGTACTTTATTTCCTTGATTAATCTCTAATTGGTCTAGTTGTATGGTCAAGGTAACCGAGTACTGCTTTCTGGCATGTAATGTATTTTCTTTTTGATGTTGTGGAGTTCTTTTCCCTTGAATTTTGTGTTTAAAATTTGTGTAGATGCCAGTTGCAAAACTCAAGAATTCTAACTATCCAGATGTGATGAAATCGGAGGAGGGAAATGATTCTCTAGACACTATTATTAGACAGGCAATTGGCAAAGAGCCTTTTCTTTCTTTCTCAAGAGCTGGTGAGAGCCCAGTCCAGTGGATTCAACTACTTCATGCTCTAGATCATCATGGTATTCAAGTGTTCAATTAAATTGCATTGCAATTAAGTGGCTCTCTCTGAAATGTTGTGATACATGAGTTCCACTTGCATTTCAAGGCAAAGCTACAAGAATTTCTTTTGCATATGTGCCAATTTCTTCTTTTTTTAGTGATGCCTTTTCAGCTTATGTGTGTACACACGTCTGTGCATCTGCTCTTCATTGTCTATTCAAGGGGGTCGTTATACAATAATAAAGCATCCTAGAAGAGGGTCAATTTTTATTCAATAAATTATTTTTCACTCAAATCATATGATCCATCCTGCAGTTAATTGTGTACCTGTTAGGATTCAAAAGATTTGAAATGTGTTGTACTTTTTTGACAGAACTCCCAGGTTGGCCCTTGCTATCTCCTTTAAAGGTTCAAATGCAGAAGTGTGACAAGTGTCTCCTGGAATTTTTCTCGTTTATCAACTATAGAAGACATATACGAGTGTATCATAGGATGAAAAAGCCTGATAAGGTGTTTATTTTTTACTACTAGATGTTATAATTCTTTTTAATTTTATTAAATTTACTTGTATATTTTTTCTCTTTAATTTCTCGCTTGCTTGAACGTACTTGTTCTTTTCACTTTGTAGGATTCTGCCAAAACTAGGGATTTACTAGCAGCATTTTGGGACAAGGTAATCTTTTGTCCACTATCCACGTTGGTTGTTCTACGTAGTCTCATTCTTTATTTCAAAATTTGTTTATTGATGTTATTCTGCATAGTCGAGTTCCTTTATTAAAAAGTTTATTCGTTGATGTTTTTTACAGCTATCCTGGGAAGAGACGAAGGAGGCTGTATCATTTAAAAATGTCTCAATTGAGGCAAGTCATTCCTCAGTTTCTTTAGATTTTACTTGAAGTTTCGCATAAAATGTCTGTATCCTCTCTATGTAGTCTTTAAATCATTGGATAGAAATGAAAATGGAACATAATATCAAGGGAAATCCTTGCGGGTTTTAGATATTGTCTGTCTTATGTTCTCTTAAATGATTACTCTGTGTAAACATATAGGGAATGCAAGGGTCAGCCGTTATCAAGAACCTGACGGCCATTATTGGAAAACCGAGATTTTCTGCCCTACCACATGTTTATTTGAGGGCAGGTTCTGCCCTTTTGGTATGTTCAGGTTCCGTCAGCCTTTATTTGGGGTCCTATCCTTCATCAATGCATTTTTGTGTACAAATATTTATTTTTATTGCAAACCTGAATCTTCTCAGGACATTGTACAAGGTAGACCGTCTAGGTTTCCCCTCTCTTCGCAGGAGCTATTTGAAATTCTTGACAATGCAAGTGAAAAAACATTCCTATGTGGAACTTCTTTCTCTATGCAAAAATATATATTTGATGGCGGGACTGTAAAGATCGGTCTTGAAACTAAAAACTTAGTTGCTTGCATGAGCTTCTTGTTGGAAGAGAAATTGGTAAGTTATTTTCCTTTAATTTTTTGGTACACTTCTTATTTTCTGTCTGGTTGATAGTTCCTGCGTTGTTCTGGTTTACAATGTATTAAAATATTTGTCAATATGAAATCATTCATAAATCGGAGGGTTCATCATTTGATATTAAGGATTGTCAGTATCTTTGATCTCTTGTATAAGTGATCATGAAACCACAAAATAATAATAATAATTATTATTATTATTATTATGATAATAATTATGAATTAGTCTCTAATATGAGTATATATTTAATAATAATATTGTAAACTTATTTTGGGAGTAAAAAGAACTTAATTATTATTTTAATTACTTCTGTATCTTTTTATTTATAGGATTATTCGTCAATATCATTATTGCATAGATATATTCATAAAATTAATATATTAATAATCTAATCATATATTCATATTCACACGATTGCATGGTTTTTTGCTCATTAACTAACATGTGACAACATTTTCTTTAAGGTCAAAACATGGCTTGCTGACAAGGATGCTGAAGCTTTGAGGTGTCAGAAGTTGCTGGTAGAGGAGGAAGAAGCTGCTCAAAGGAGGTATATCCATTATCATTAATTTTCCCTTTTGCATGGCACCTTCCTGTGAATTCTAGCCCGATCTGTAGTTTTGCATCAATAGTCTTGTTATGATCACTGGTTCTTATGCTATTTGTAAAAAAAAAAATTCTTGGTAAGGAAGACTGACGTTCTTATCTTAGCTGACTAACTAGTATTAATACCTCCTTGTGGAGGTTTTCACTGAACCTTTGAAGATAAATAACCCTGTTGAGAATACTGACTGTTCACAAGCTTGCTTCTTGTGAGTTCTTTGTCTTAGAACGCTTGTTCCTAACCCATAAGGTATATGTGACTCTGTAGACAAGCGGAGCTGTTGGAAAGAAAAAAGCAGAAGAAGCTAAGGCAGAAAGAACAAAGGTCAAAGGAGCAAAAACGCGAAGAGAAGGCTGATATGGAAGCGAGTGTAAATGAAACAATTGAAGACGTGTTACCTGAAGAATCATCTAGCCCTCAAACTGAATGCCACTCAGAAGGGGACTCTCTGAGCATATTGGCTGATCACATGCCATCATCTATTGAAACATCTCAACAATCTCTAACTGATGAAGACGAAGATTCTGAGTCTTGTTTTGGGTCTCACAGTGGCTACCCTGAACATCTTCCTATTGATCACAATGGTGAACGGCAGAAAATACAAATGAATGGCCATAAGCATGTAATTGCTCAGTGGCAGGCATTGCCTAAGACGCAAAGGGGACTTTCTAACGGTTATCATGCAGAACAGAATTATCAGGGACACAAAAATGGAGATATGCGAAGGCATGGAAACCATGTGCTTTCAAGGGCTGCGCCCATGGCTAATGGGAAAAAAGTATGGAGCCGGAAGCCCAAACCAGAAAGAGATGGAGGCCGTTACCAAGCCAGGATTCTTGAAGAGACAACGGCCCAAGCGGAGGAAATTAAGAGCCATGAGGTTTTGATTGGTTCTATTTCAGTGGCACTAGGAAATTGCAACCAAGAGAGTAAAAATCCAGTTGGAGCTCCAGATGATTGCCAGGATGGTCATCAAACGCCTAAGAAGATTAATAATCATGTTCAGAAGTTCATTAAGCCAGACTCTGTTCAAACTGCAACAAATCGGGTGATGGTTAAGCTTTGGAGGCCAGTTGGTCGTAATGGAACCAAATATGCAATGCTAGAGCAAAGTGACAATGAAGAATCTGAAGCTGAAGGGATAACTGAAAAGCTAGAAGATGAGGCGCTGCTGAATACATATTCTCCACGATCCTCTTCCTTGGATGGTGACAATGGGGACTTCGGAAACAACAACTCTTTGATCCAGGAAGAGCCTGCGCAATCAGTTGGCCTGGAGTTCTCTAGTCGTGCTGCAAAAGCTTTCCTTGCACAGAGTAAGTTAAATTTGAACACAAATCTAGTTAATACTTCATTTTGTGAGGTTGGTGAAACTTCTAACCGTTGTGCATGCAGGGTGGAAGGAGGCTATAACAGCCGACCACGTCAAATTGAATCTACCCTCCGATTCTGAGTCTTCTCGATGCTCTGAAATTCAAAATGACACAGAAACTTCTGCATTTCAATTGTCCAACTTTGACAGACGCAATGTTCTTGGCAATGCGATGTCAATTAATGTCGACCCTCCCAAGTCGTCCTCAGCCAATGAAGCCGGCAAGTCCAAGTTCAGGACAAAATTTGAAAAGGGTGCGAAGATAAAGTACATTCCCAAACTTCCAACCACTACCTGACCTGAGAGTATGGGATCTAACCCACGAGTTGTTTTTTTTACATTCTTTGCAGAGCCAATTTTACCAATGGTCTTCTGTCTTGGAAGTTGAAGTTTTTTCCCCTCTTTTTTTTTTCCTTTCCTGGGAAATCTTTTATGATTCTGTCCTTTGTGTCAGGCTGCTACAGAAGATTTGTTAGCGAGGAAAATTCCTTATTTTTTTTGGTATAATTTCTAGATTTTCGTGTAATATTTTTGTTATTAGTTATAAAAAGTGCAGCTCTATTTTGGCCCCGCCCCGTTTCTGCTAATCCATCATCCCATTACCCTTTAATTTTGCTGATTTTAAGATTTATGAGATCAGAATTTGGGCACAGATGAAATTGATGTCAGCATTTCAATCTTTGAACGTAGATAAGAACAGGGTTGTTTCCCATATTTGTCATTATAAAGGATCACTCAATCCCAGCAGAAAACCTCTTTTTCAGGGAAAGAAATGAATCTCTTTTAGGACAAAAGAGAGATGATAAAATAACCTAACATAAAATGAAAGCCATTCATGAACTTCCACCGTAAGGAACTTCAATTGCATGAGCTGTACAGCATAAGCTCTCTCCTAGTTCAGCATAAGAAGCCATTGTGTCAATAAGATAATAATAGACACTAAAGCCAGTTCATTCCTTCAACAACTGTACAGCATAAGTTTTCCTTCCCCTTGTTTTTCTTTTCCTGGTTGAAAAGAAGAAAGTTCGGAGATGGTAATTAGACCATTTGTTCCTTTAGTCATTCTATATGATGATTCAAAAAATGTACATTTTTCCCTTCTGTATGTTCTTTCCTAGTCCACGAACTCAATGGGTTGCCACTTCTAAGTAACCTCCGTTTCACATTTGAATCATCAGAAGTCATCCCGCATGAACAAAATTTAAATTTTGCACCTCAGATTAGTAGGTCAGATGATAAATCGAATACTCGATCACTGTACAAGCTGATAACTCAGGTTATGTTGGATCAAATCGAGCAGCCAGATGTTAATTTAGTTGCACAGCTGAGCTATTTAGCTTTCAAGAATCAACATGTCAAAAGAATCATCTCCACTGGATCGGTGGCCAGCTACTTCCACTTTAAGAACATCAACATTAGTCAACTATTTCCTCACCCCCTGTTCTTATATAACGTTGTCTTTTGGCAGGTGATGATTAGGCATTAATCTTTCCAATCCAAAGAAAGCTTCTACTCCTGACAACGAGCTCTAGCAGGTCGATGCATTCAGAGTTAGATACCATTCATGCGGCCAGACAAGGTAGTGCTAGGACTCAAATCAAGAGAAAGGTTTGTTTTAACATGATCCCTCAGGAGCTGTCGAGACACTCGATCAGCCAAGACCTGCTGTCCATCATACAGTTCACCATAAGCAGGTCTTCCGACTCCAACCTGTTTGCCCAGGATATCATTTTCTGGTATCATTTCAGAGAAGATGGGAGCCCCATGCTGCAACCCTCGAAAAATATCGGGATTTGAATCATGGAACGAGAGACCACTGCTGTATGGACTATTATTTAAGGACTTCGGCATGCTTCCAAATCCATCCTGCAAGTATATAGCTTGTTTCAGGTGGTTGTAAGGAATAGCACCACCACATGCTGTCAAAGGTGTCGACGAGCCTGAAGTAGTTCTTGGACTTGATATGGGTGAAGGAGACATTCTTCCACTGGGATGTTGAGGTGATCGTGAGCGTAAAAGGGGGCTTCCAATTGGTGAAACAGGACATGAGATGTTTCTGAGAATGTTGATGTCACTGGATGGAAAACGAAATCAGAATCAGATCTAGCCTCAATCAGTAAAATACTATTTTATTTATTTCCTTCTTTTTTTTTTTCTTTTTTTTTTTTTTTTTTTGGTTGGGGGTTGGGATTGGGGGAAGAGAGAGAACCTGGCATGAAGAACAGGTTTTGAGACTCTTAAAGAATGAACTGCGAGTCTACTATCCGAGTCCACAGAAGTAATACGTGATTGGCCAATACCCTGAAAGTGAACAATAGACAACACTCAGAACCAAGATGAGTGAGAAAATGAAAGAAAAAAACTAATTTTCTGAACCAATGAAACAAAAAAGAATTTACTCAGCCGAGGCACAAGAATCTTTCCAGATTCTAATCTAAATGCCCCAATGTTCTATCTAAATATCAAAACTCAGCTAATTTGTCACAGCTGGTTGCCTAGCTTAGCTTAGTATTTGACTAAAACATCAATATGTATGAAAAAAAAATTCAGAATCCAGTGAGACAGCAAAACATAGCTCAATCTTTTTGCACCATACAAATTAAGGAGAAGCTGTTATAACAGAATCTGCAGTAAGATTGAACAGTTCACACAGTAACAAAACCCACAACCACAAGAGATCCATACAATTTTTGTAACAATGAACATTGATGAATCAAAAACAATGTGAGAATATGTGTACCAAAGTCTTCACTCCGTTTGTAACCCCAGGAGTTGCATCAGAGGGTTCAGAGCTCAAAATAGGCCTCTCTACAGGTGCAGCATATTTGACAAAAGGATGATCCAAAAGTCGAGCAGCTGTAGGTCGATGATACGGGTTCCGTTGCAGACATAGTCTCACAAAATCCTTCCCATCATCTGAGAGGTGCTCTGGAATTACTGGGAGTTCTTTGCTATTGCCAATCTTAAACATCGCAGCAACCTTTTAAGCAAGAATATAAAATGTCCCCCCCGTCAGAACAAAGAACAAGGCACCATGTAAGAAATGCGAGAGTAAGCTTCAAGTAAACATTCAATAATGAGCCAAATAAGAAAGACGTGCCAAATAAGACATGTGCATATAAATTACAATCCTAATAGAAAGATTTTGGTTACTTATTATAACAATTAAAATATAAAGTAACACCAAAAGCCTTCAAAATGATTATTTGCAATTTAAATGGGCTTTCTCATCAGTCCAAGAGAGATTTGATAACAAAGTGTATTTCCAACAGTTGAAGACACTTTTATAGCTTAGATATTTAAAGACGTCCTTACCCCTTCATACTGGCTCCAAGGTGGCTTTGTAGTTGCCATCTCCAGAACAGTGCATCCAAGACTCCAAATATCAACGGCAAGGTTGCAACCATTTGAGTTCTTTATGACCTGGGAAAGCCATGGGTCAGAAATATGGATAATTTAGTTATTATTTTTGCTTAAAGAGAGTTAATTCTGACCTCAGGTGCCATCCAGTAAGGGCTGCCCTTAAACGACAGTGGACATGATTGGCCTGTGATCTGTAACCGATATGAAAGAAGAAAGAGAGAAAGAAGGGAAAATACGCGTTAACCAACATCCTGAGTTGAGTGAATAATGATCATATATTTACTACTGTCTTAACATGCCTATGGGATGCAAAGTTTTGTTTTTTGTTTTTTCTAGTTTAAGGATTTGAGTATATCGCAAAAATATATATGATAGCAAAACTTAAAGTAAATTTTAATACATGTAATGTAAATATAGCAGATAAATATGAACAGTGAAATGTGTATTTGTTAATTATTAACTAAAGTAGAACCATGGATTTCAATATGTACGCTCCACATGCACATAATATGATTAAATAAAGGAAAACATAATTTAATAAATAGTCTTATAAATAATTTTTTTACTAGCCATATTAAAATTAACTTCAATAATTAAAAATACTACTTGTTAGGTACAATCTCAAATTCACAGGAAAGTTAATAATTGATAAACTAAAAGAAGAAACAACCAGCTCTATAAATTTAATGGATGGAGATGTCAATATTAGAAATGCATTCAAAGCATATCACTTGAGGTATAGTAAAGGTAAAAACTGAGTGCGATCTTACATGCTTCGCCATCCCAAAGTCTGCCAATTTAACACGGCCATTAGGGTCAACAAGTATGTTTGCTCCTTTAATGTCCCTGCAAAGGTTAGAAGTTCAATATAAGGTCCCACAAACAAGATACATAAGAATATAGTAGCAGCAACGACACTAATGTATGTGTTAAAAAAACTGCGAGCATCATAGATGTTCAAATCACCTGTGCACTGTAGTTTTAGCATGCAAATATGCAAGTCCTGATAGTATTTGTTGAGTATAGCTACGAATTGCTAGTTCCCCAAATTGTCCATACTCTTGTAGTAATTTATAAATGGAGCCACCAGATACATATTCCAGATAAATATAGAGTTTATCACCCACCTGTTCCAAAAGATTTCAAATAAAAAAATTAGATGTCTAAAACACGGAAGAATATGTAACCGCTAAAATCCAGATTTTTCCAACTATGCCTACTGTATGCAGCAACAGTAGTTAATTGGAATATATTAGTAATCAGGTCTCAAGTCAAATGTGTTTTGCATGCATTGACAAATCATATCATCTTAAGCCTCGAACATAACTTTGGGATCAACCTCAGTGAATTATGGCGTAACGGGCTTGGTACAGATCTCCGTAGCCCGCCACTCACCATCTCTCTCCAACACAACGCAACCCCCTGCCCTTTCCCAACCATCCAAAACTTTTGGGGAGGTCAACACATGTAAGGGGGAATTTCTTTACAAAGATGACCACCTCACCACAATATCTTCCTTTATAATGTTATAATGAGAATGTTAACATAGAACAAAATTAGAAACAAAATACTCACTGATTCTGAACCATAATATTGCACAATGTTGGGATGCCGTAAACGACTCAGTAAAGCAATTTCCTGTGATAAATGGAAAAGTAAATTCTTAATGAAACAAAGAAATAATCTACAGTGAAAAAAGGAAGCACTAGATGAGATCTGCGTAGTAGAGAACTTGTACCTGCATTAATTGTTTAGCACTTTCCTTAGACTTTGCATCATCAGAAAATAAGGTGACCTCCTTCATTGCACACATTTCTCCACTTTCGCTGAATGATTGAAATATTATTATTTTTTTAAAAAAAAAGAAAGAAAAGAAAAACCATGTTAAGCACAAAAAATGACAGACCTCACGAGTAAGAGAGATAAATGGTTTTTTTTTTTTTTTATGAGAGACGAGAGATAAATGGTATCAAAACTATAATCAAGGTATCATGATGACTTATAGCGGATAAGCTATCTACAGCATCACAACTAGTATTGTCAATAAACAAACTTCTGCCTGAAGCAATGATAATGACAAATTAAATGTTTATTTTGTCTGCATACCTATTAAAACCAACGTACACATGCCCAAATGTGCCACGACCCAGTAGCTTCCCCTTTTTCCAGCGTGAACCTGGGCTTGCTGGAGTCTCTGTCCTTCCAGGACTCCTAGGCACTGAAGGAGATGTCACTGCAGAGGTTGAATGAGAAAATGGAGAAGAGTTTGAGATTGCAATGGGAGGAAGAGGCAAACGATGAGTTTGTTTCTCATCAGGCCAGCAAGTTTGTGATTCAGCAGGCGGAGCTCCTGCTCTAGGATGAATAGGTGTAACAGCACCACTTTGAATTCTGGAGCTTGGGCCAGGACTAGTCATTCTAGAACTAGGTACTGGAGAATATTCGGGGCTGCCCCTACTTTGTTGCCAAAAGAAGTGGGCTGCCATATCACCTCCCATAGAGTTGTGCCCTGAATTGTGTCCAGAACCAGGACTGGAGCAGTGGCCAGAGCCACCTAAAATGACATCTGAGTGAGACTTTCCAGACCAAACAGCAGTGTTCATGACTTGCTCTGTGCTAAATACCCTCATAGGACTTCTAGAAGGACTAGACATGGAACTATCTGGAGCGCTAAAGAATGCCCCATGACGAGGAACTTGAAGATTTGTTACATTGCTGCTTAAAGGCCTCCGTTTAGGTATTGAAGGCTTCTTATGAGGAAATGAAAGACTTTCTGCTTTCTTGCCCTCTTTTAAATTTGTTTGCACAACAGTAGAAGACTGGTCCTTGAGAGTTGCACTACAGAAAAACCCACCAAATATGTCAGGGACAAGTAAAATAAATATTAAGAAACAATGCATCAGATGCAAGGTGATTGCTCTAAAACAAGGACAACCAAATAAAATGATACAAGTAACCCTATTTAATCATTCAACCAAGACTATCGACAATGAAAAGAATGACTCCAAGACATGTGAGCTTACCTAGGTTCAATAGAACCTACCACAGTTCTAGTCCCAACGTCATAGTCAGTTGCCTGAGGACTACGTTGACGTGAATCAATGGGATCATCACTATCACTTGAGGACTCACCAGAGACTGAACCAGTGACTAAATCTCCATCCAAATCTGCAGGATCCGGCCTCCTCCGGATACATGCAGGTCTAGGGAGTGGTAGGAATGAAGATGTCTTAGAGCTTCTCTCTAATTTTGATTTTGCCGTCACACTAATCCCAGAGTCTGTGGGACCTATACCTATAGGGTGCAGTTCTGGAAGTGGCAGTTGGTGAGAATGTGATCTTCCAGCAAAACTTTGACATCTCGATACTTCTTTGGAAGGTGATGGTGATCTTGATAGAGGTGATTTCTCAGATATAGTGTCACCACCACGTCTACAAGAACTTCCTGATCGGCTGTTTACTTTACCTTCAGGTGAATTCTTGAACTTACGGTGTAATGAGTCAATGAAACTTTCCTTGCTTGTTTTCTTCTTTACTTCTTTGGATGATGGCTTCCCCCACCACGAAGGCATTATTGATTTTTATCTTAAATATTGTGGAAGACACTAAATTGGCTACCCGCTCACTCTGCAGAGTGAAAATATTTCGTGAAAATTGATAGTAAAGCAGATGTTACACTTCCAAAGCATCCGACAAGTACATGATACCCTTCATGCCATAATTAGCTTTTACCCCATCGGCAAGCTGGTAAATCTGTGACTGAGTATCCAAGCTACCACTTCTGTGACCGGTCGTATTTTCTAATATAGGCATTCTAACATTAATGTGGAAGTGTAACATTTAGAAACTATAACAAACTTAAACACCTCAGTGGAAGCTATTTCTTAAAAAAAATCTAAGATAAACTATCAAATCCTCAACAACAGCTTTCAAAGTCTTGTGCAAGAACACTAAACTTCACTTCTTTCAGAATTATCACTTGATCCTTCATCTGAAAATATTAAAAAACAAAAACAAAAATGAGAACAAAAATACTCAGAAAGCAAATCCCACATCAAGTTCAAAATTGATTTTCTTTAAAAAAATAAAAAATAAAAAATAACCTATATAAACAATCTTGTCTATCCAATTTCTCATTCAAAACAATTTTTGGAACAGAAAGTTGAGGAAAATGGGGTTCTTGGACTTAAAAAGCAGCACAGAGATACTCGATAAAACCAATGCTTTTCAATACATAATAGAATGCCAAACAATTTTCCAATTCTACAACTTCTAAAACCTTCAAAACTAAAATAATAATAATAATAAATAAAATTAGGGTAGTTAAATCTGAAAGTTTAATCTTCATAAAATAAAACTTTCCAAAATTTTTAAATTAAAAGAATCAAGATTGCTGCCATTTTACCAAAAAAAAAAAAGAGCTGTAAAAAAATTTAAAGCATACTATTTTGCATGTGGAAATCGAAGTTATAAATCACACTTTAAAGTAGCAATCACTTGGTAAATTACAATGAACAAAAATAAATAAAAAATACACTTAAACCCTAAAAACCCTACGATTCTCTTTTTAAAAAAGATAATAACGATAATAAAGATTTATCTCCTAATTTAAGAGAAGATAAACTTTAGTTCATGTGTTTACCGTTTGTTGCAACTTCAGCTTGAATTTGAGGAAGCTCAATAATGAGGAACTAGTAACAAAATCCTGCATGAAAAGTGGAAGTTTGAGTGCTTAAATATCACGAAGACTATGCATCTGCCGGAGAAACAGCATTCCATTTATTATTATAAATTTTTAAAAAAATTAAAAATAAATAAAATAAAAAACTAAAGATAAATAGTCTCATATAGCATGAACACTCTCACAACAGGCTTATGCATGCACGAAATTCAGGATTTCATGACTTCAGATATAACAGACATGTTTCAAGAAGATTCTGAATCCATTAACTTTATATTCTTCAGAAGCAATACTGCAAAAAACTGAGTATGTTTCTCTCTTAACCTTTTGGAGTCTTCTTCTACACATGAATAACTCCCAATTGCAATCTTATAGTTCGAATCTGAGGTTCAACTTTGAAAGTAGAGACAGGACTATCCATGTCTTATGCCTTAAAATCATTTGGCTCTACGTGCTATCCATGTCTTATGCCTTATCAGCTGCATAAATTCAATGTTCACATAGAGAAGTGTGTTCTCATTGGCTACAATGATTTTCACAAGGGTTATCGATACCTTCGAGTCCCTGGTTGCAACAAAAAATAACTTCCATACCAGCAACTATTTGCCCCGAACTCTCCCACAACCATTGGTTCAACCTACCCAATATTGACATGGCTTCCCTTACCTCAACCACCTCAACCTATACCTCAACTCCCTTTGCCACTTGTTCTCTTAGTCTGCCAGCATCTCCATCTTCGCCTAGGCCCCAACTTCAACTACCAGATCCCTTCCCTTTTCCCCATCTTCCATTACACTACACACTTCGTCTATATCCTCGACTACTCATGCTTCTCCAATGCCTTTGCCTTCCCCCTTCACCCCACCACCTCCTCCTCCTACCAATACTTATACTAAACATCTTCTTTGTTATCTTAGGGGACTATCAATCTTGAATTAGCCTTGCATCCTACACCATCATTAACCCTACAGGTGTTTTCTGATACTGATTAGGAGGTTTCTCCCAATGATCACTAATCAGTAGGTGAATATTGAGTGTATGTTGAAACATCACTTGATCTGCTTGTGTTTTCTTCTTCATGAACTCCGTGTCTATATTTGCTCCTCCCATTACGTGGTGTGATAATATCAGTGTTGCTGATCTTGCTTCTAATCCTGTGTTTCACGCTCTAACCAAACTTATTGAAATAGACGCTCATTTCATTTGCGATCAAAACTGTTATACCCAAGTAAAAGAGGGGTACAAGAATGAACTGGGACCACATCCAAATGAAAGGAATCCCGAGAATAGGATAGCTAAGCTTAAAAGAATTGAAAGTCACTACCTATACCAACAAGGTGCACTTTCCTTTTCGGTGGCTCAATCATAAAAACTTCATAGTTAAGCATGTTTTACTTGGAGCAATTCTATATTGAGTGACCTCCTGAAAATTTTCTTAGGTTGCATGTAAGTGAGAACAAAACATGCTGGAAGGACTCGTGTTGAGTGACCTCCTAGACAATTGAAAATTCGCCACGTCCCATCTCATCTTATACTAGTCGACTTCCTCATAGAACTATTACCTCATGCTCAGTTCCAACATCTCAATTTAGCGAACTCGGTCTTCAGTTTATTCCTTCGCCTCCTTTGATGGGGGGATGTTACAACCTAATCTATATATTGCTCTGGTTTACCCATTCCTCATTTATTATTTAAGATCGTTAGGTGGAAGTAAACATGTGTTCCTTACCTACCATCTCCTTAATTCAGTGGGTTAATCTTGTCATTTGAATTTTATTGTATGGTTTGTATCCTCTCCTATTTAAAGGAGTCTTTGTGTATCTGAATAATGCATACAAAGTATTCTACAAGAGAACACTCTACTTCAAGCTTTGTTTCCTCTCAGCCTTCATCTTCATATTTCTACTTTTGACCACTACTTGACTTTCTTTAATAATCCTCAAATCTACTTCTTAATTGAAGACAGTCAAATTCTTATTGTCTTATCATGAAAAGTAGGAGAGATTTTTCATAATCCCCAAGTATTCTTCTTAACTGGGTTGACAAAATTTTGCCTAATTTGACTTGTAGTAAACACCACTCCCTCCACTCTCCAGAAGGAAAAGGGGGGGGGGGGAACAAAATAATAACAACAGTAACATAATTAATAAAAGAAGGGAGTGATCGAAGTTGGAAGGCAACTAGAATCCTCACAGTAAGGGCAAAAGTAATGGCCAATGAGAGTTTGGGATCATTAATTACGGCGCTGAACAAGTAAAAATGATGAGATAGTCAACATGACCAACATACAAACGAATGATTCTAGCTCCCTGCTACTCCGAATAAAATTTTAATTAAGAAAATGGGGGAAATAATAAACTAGACCAGAGAAGCAAATTCAAATCCAACCTCTAATCGCTTATGCCACCAGATACAGCCAAATTCCCCAGCAACAAAACGAGCTGAAAAACTAAGCTCCATCGTTGCCAACGACACTCCTGAATTTCCTTCCTTTGTTTTCCACGACCGTTTAGGAAATTAAAAAACAAACTACACTTCCATATTCCTCAAAACACGACTCTACGATACAGATCTACCAAGAATCTAAAGCAGATAAACTAGAACAGTGGCTAAACGAAACTAAAATCACATAAACATAAATTTACTAAAACTGGAATAGAAGAATGAAATGAACAAGTGTTACCTTAAATATTGGAAACTGCAAATTCCAGAATCCCACTATACTCGCCCAAATCCTAGTGAGGTCGACTTACATATTGAAGACCAAGTTAGCAAGAAATCGAAACCCTAATCATCTGAAATCTCAGATTATCAGAGGCGAAGTGTTACATCAAAGCTTCTCCATTTTAAGATGAATTGTGGGATTGAGAAAATCGCGTAAGAAAAGTGAAAGAGAAATGAAAGAGAAAGAGAGTATGCCTCAGCGACGACATGGAGTTGTCCGAAAGTTCGATATTTTTAATATATTTTAAGAAATGCGTAAATAAAATAAATTATTAGCTAATTTTTTTAAATGAATTAATTTTATAACCAAAAAAAAAAAAAAAACTTTTATAAATATTTCAGAATAATTTATCTATAAGATTCAAATTATTTTTAAACCCAACAAAGTTAAAAAGTACTTATATATATATATATAGATATTATTGGTTAAATTAATAATATAGAGAAGAGATTATGGTAAAAAAAATATACATATTGAATCTTATTAAAAAAAATATATATATCTAGTTTTTAAAATTTAGTAGTAGATTTTATGATTGGGGTGTCGTTTACTGATTTATATAATTTATTTTTAAAATAGTAAATGCATTTTTTGTATAATTTATTTTTAAGAAATTGACTAACCAATAAATTATAAAGAAAAATAATAATAAAAGAAGGGGGAAATAGAGGGTTAGATGAAGAAATAGGGGAAAATGGAGGGGTCATTTTGGAAGGGGAGCAAAAATTAGGGGAACATGGATAATATTTTATGGCTGCAAGAAAGATAGGGGTGTTGTGTTGGAGATGAAAGGTGGCTGATATGTATCCAAGGGAGATGTACAACACTTAATTGAGAAGACTTGTAGGAGTTGGAAATGTAGCTTCGCACGTGCGTATGGGTCCCACTTTTTTCCCTCATATATATATATATATATATATATATATATATATATATATATATATATATATATATTACATTTTTAATTAAAGATAATAGAATAATAAAATGGTTTTAATTAGAATGTACCTTGATGTGATAATTTTACATATATTCCACCATCCTCTCCCTTTTCAAATTTCAGAGGATTCTTGTAGCTGTTTGAGAAAGCATATTCTTAAACTAAGAAATGACCTTCTTACATAAGGATATGATTCTTTTTGTTATTTGAGGAAGAAAATCCTCCAATAAAAATGTTTGTCTTTTACGCACATCATTTATGGTCGAGGAATAATCTTTGTACGGGACTAGTCCTATTGAAAGGAAACGAGAACGTAATTTTTCAATTATATCAAGTCATACAAATTACGTGTCAAATTTATGCAACTATTTTTTTGTGAGAGCCCGCATTGGTTGGAGAGAAGAATAATGCATTCCTTACTAAACGGGTCAAAGCGGACAGGGTTTGAGCTGTTACAGTTTTAAACCTACAATTTTGCTTCAGGGTTTGAGCTCTTACCGTTTTAAACCTACAATTCTACACTATTTCGCGTGTGGACTATGATCTCTATTAGTAGTTCAGGGTTTGAGCTGTTACAGTTTTAAAACAATTTTGTATCAGTTACGGACTACCTATCTAGAAGATTTTCACACTTGACCTAACCACTAGAAGATTTTCGCACTTGACCTAACCACTTGGACCGTGTTCAAATTGAATCCAAGTCAGTTGCCATGGTACGAAAGCTCTAAATTAATTAGACCAAGGAAGAAGATAAGGTTGGTGGGAAGGAACGACAAGAAAAGAAAATATGGAAGCATTGAACAAAAAAGGCTATTTATCACTTCATATTCATTTCCCACTCACATTTGTTTCATTATTTGAATTTGTACAAACTATTTTGAAGGAAACATATTCTATATTAACTTCAAACGAGATCTAACTATTCTACCCTTCATCACAAAAACTTTATTATATAAGGAAAAAAAAGAACAATAAAGGAAAGCAAGGAAGAACAGAGAAGAACATCATTTGATGAGAACTAAACCAATGCCTGTGATAATTAGAGTCGAGGGAAGTCCAAATTTAAGATGATTCCAGAAGGATAAATTGTAGCTTAGCTGTGGAGTGCGACGAGCCTGTTCGCACACAATCAAGTTGGCAGCTGAGCCTAACAACGAGAGGTTTCCAGCTACAGTGCTGATCCAAGCTAAAAGCAGCCATGCCCGTTTTTCTTGAGCTGGGGATATTGCAGCAGCTGATGCGGCAACCCGCGCTCCAAGCAGAAGAACTAACAACAGCATCATGAAAAGGCATTATTAGATGGCATCCTCAGAGATTTTTCTTCTGGGAACATAATCTTTGTGAATAACAGAGATGCTGCCAAACGCTAACAGACGAGAAAAATCTTTGCGAATAACGAGATTTTCACGACGACTAACCAGCTCAATCAAACTCGTGAATAACATAACGTTTGCTAATCAAGAAAAAATGATATGGTCATCACTTCTCATTCAAGATCTATCTTAACATACTATTTTGAGCATTTCATATAACCAAACACCAAAAATCCTCCAAATGAGGATCGGGGTTTCTATGATTACGAGATATAACTGGACAAAAGAATTGAAACTTTGGAAAGCAATGAAAAATGGGAGAATAAGTATTTAAATACCTGTAGGAACGTTCGAAGCCAGGTTCGAGAGGTATAGTATGACAAGAGCAAGAACTACGGTCCCAGAAACACGATCAATCTGTGCGTGCGGCTCCATGAAATTCCAAAAAGTATTTGGTAATCCAGTCTTGTTAAAACCATCAACCGTGATAAACATCCCACAAAAAAAGACTAAAAGTGAATAGGAAACCTGTAGAAATACAAAAACTCCATTGAGAAATCATCTATTTACCAAACAAAGATGGACAAAGAAGTAATGGTTCAAACCTTTTCTAGGCATGGCTGAGCATCCTTGAAATCTAGAACCACAAGAGCGAGTGCAGCAGTCACTGCAGTCCACGACATATTCAAGCCCATCAATAAAGCAACCAGCATTCCTATAGTCACAAGATAAACACAACATTTCCATGCCATCCTCCTCCATTTCGTGCTCCAATGTTGCTTTCCTTCCGAGACCTGCAAAGGTAATGGTTCTTTCTGCTTATCCATGGAGTTGAAGCTCTTGGAAGATAAACCTTCTTCCCTTTTCTGAGGAGGAGGAGATGCATTAGGCACGCACTCTTTTGATGCATCAGATATTCTTGCCACCGCCTCTGTCACGGCACCGTGAGACCAGTGAATTTCATTATCTTTCGAACTTAAAGAAGTTCTAAGAGTTTCAACATTCGCATTTGAGTTGGGAGGACTCTGTGCGTACATCGAATCCAACCGAGAATCCCATTCCTGAGAGTTGAGGGATGGAATTTGTGAGTGTGACAATCTGGCTGGTGAAAACCTATGAGAATTCACATCTTCATCTGCAACAATTTCTGGGGGAACATCTTCTTCATCCTTTTGGATAGATAACAGTTTCCAATATGAGATAAGAATAATTAAAGCATTTACAACAATACCAACAAGCATAGCTGGGAGTATTCCAATCACAAATTGCCCAAAAGGAATTCCACTCTGAACAGCTATGACCAAGTTTTGGGGGTTGCCAATAGGTGTTGCTGAAGATCCAATATTAGCACTCGACGCAAGAGCAAGAAGGAAGGGACGAGGTGGAAGATTATGTTGCTTTGCGATTTTTAACACAAATTCAGTCAGAACCACGCAAGAGGTGTCATTGGTGAAAAGAGCACTCGAAATTGCAGAAATGAGACACACTCGACATATTAAATCCTTGGCTCCTTTACTCTTCCATGACAGCACCTTACCCAAGTATTTGAACATATCAGCTCTTTCAAGATAAACACTGACTACCATTGTCCCAAACAGAAGACCAAGTATGGGGAGATCAATGGCAGCATACGCTTGATCTGGAGTTAGTACTCGAAATAGGACCATTAGCATTGCCCCTAGCAGAGATCCTGCCGTTCTCCCAATTGGTAGAAATGGGATAGCAGGAAAAACAGCTAATAACCAGAAGATTCCAAAGGCAATTGAGCCCAGGATAACTTTCACAGTATGATCCATGGCCATTTTTGCAACCAGATTCGACTTGAGTGAGCCTCGAACCTGATTGACTGGAAATTACACCGGATATCTTCGAAGCACCAGCGTAGCTCGGCGTCTTGATTCAACTTCTCATAAAAGCCCTGTAAACCTGAGAAGAAAATTTAGTTTACATGATTTACTTAAGAAAACTATAACCCAATTGAAAGAATGCAAGGATAGAGGAATAAAGAAAAGTGGCACAAGGAACCTGCTATTGTAGCTTTAAACAGTGACAAAATTTCAGAACACAAACCATCAGGCAAGAATTTATACACAAAATATCTAACTTTCCAAAAGCTAACTCTTAAGAGATAAATGGTGATCGAACCAACTTGTACACATTTCTTCTATATTTTAACTTCGAAAATAAGAAGTCCACTTGCCATGTAACGTTAATTTACATAAAGATCAGGCAATATATTAAGAATGAATATTAGTCTAATGGCTAACACTTTTAGAATTAGGAGTCACTCAATTATATAGAAAACAATATGGGATCAAACAGTACTTGAAACTCTGCTTTTTCATCCTCTTCTAAAACTAGATTACCAACTGGATCATTAGGGTGGTGACATTATTTTCTAGTAATTGCCATGATATTCACAATCCAAATCCTCCATGAAAGATAGCGGAAGTACAAAATTCAATGGCCAGCAAGAACCAAATTAGAATGAATTAAGAAAAGTTCAAATACTTGAGGAAAAGGCAGCTCCAATCTCCCATGGCAGCTCTAAGCTCTCATGGCTTCCAATCCAACCAATACAATACGCCCCACATTGGGAAGTTAACAAATTAAAGTTTAAAAGACAAAAGATTAACAAGGGCCCTACATCATAAGAGGAAAGGGCGTAAAAATGGACTGAAATTGATGAACTACCAATGAAAGAATATCATCAGAAAGTTGAAAAAACTTACGAAAATTTTGTAAGCATCTGGATCCAAAAGAAGAGATCTCAGAGTCTTGCTTTCTGTTCGAAAACGAAGGGGAATCTAATAAAAAGTGGATATAATGAAGGTTCTCACAAGAATTCAGAGGAAAGAAAAAGGCTGGACTTCACACAAAAGTTTCATGGCCACATGGTGAACTCTCAGCTTTAAATAAAACAATGTCTACGTAGAGACAGGTATTTTCGTCAGTCAGCGAATTCATGGCTCCTGTTCAAGTTATCTGGGAATAGGATTCCCAAATCCATTATTAACCTAACTCCTATTATCGATTTTCATCCAAAAAAGAAAAAAAAAGAAAAACAAAGCATTACTGTTTCATTTGATCGATGTGTTTAGCATATTAACCATTCATTTCTTCATTGACCATTAATTGCGAGGAACATGCAATTAGTTCAAACCAATGTTCAAACTGAGATAAGATTCAATAATAATTGAACAAATTTAACCATGAGATTTAACAATCATTCCTAAACAGTTTACCATTTGACCTTTCAATCTCATTGTGTCCATTTTATCACTGTCCGCCGCGGGCTCCACCATCGATCGCCGGAGGAACCGTCGATCTCTATTCCTCCGTCGTTCTAGGGATCCCGATCTTTCTTTCATGAGTCCAAGTTCCAATAAAAGTGGGGGCCCCTTTTGAAGTTCCGGGGCCCTAGCCTGGACCAAGTCAACAGGTGCACCTGCAAACGGTAACCCAAGGTTGACAAGCCAAGTGGCAGCGGCGACCGGTGGAGCCGCGGAGGAAGGTCGGTCGTGGCTCTCATGGGACAGCTTGGTGGATGAGTGGTTTTTGTATTTTTGTGAGTGACGTAATTAATCTTATCGCTTTTTTTTTTCTTTTCTTTTTTTTTAAATGTATTTTTCCTTCCTTTCTTGAAAAGTCGCACAAATTATTTGTCCTTATCCATGGATTTTGAGAAAATTAATCTTTTTATCCCAAAATTTAGTATAATTTGGAGTTTATTTTAATTTGGTCCATGTTTTCTTGCTAATTAATTGAATGGATAAGAAATTAAGATAAATCATAAATATATATATATGAGGTTTAAAAACTTTTAGATAAATGTATAAAATTTTCCCATATAATAGAAATAAAATTCAATAATATAATATTTTAAAACTTATGGTAATTTTGATAGCATTTAATAATAAAACTTAAAAGCAATCATTTCCAAATTCAATACAAACCCAATAAATGTTAAAGTTGCATGAGTTTATGTACTACACGTAAAATCTTTACTAAATGCGCGGCTGTTGAAATGTGAAGATAAATTTTTATTTTACCTTTTATATATATATATATATATATATATATATATATATATATATATATATCCTTCTCATTTAGATTTTCTTTTATATATATATATTTAGATTTTCTTAAAATATAAAAATTGTGTACTCAACAATAATCTCTTATTTAAATAATTAAGGAAGAATTAGTGTGAAAGTCTTAGTCAAAATTATCATAAATGATAAATATATACTATGGGAAAAAGACTCCCTCCTGCCAATTTGTTTTAATTATTTTTAGATTTTTTATATTTCTATTTTTGTTATTATATCCCTAATTTAAAAATGAAAAGAAACAAATCTCAAATTTAAATTATGATTTATTCTAAGTTATCTTAAAATCCTAACTGTATAAATTATATTTTAAGATATTAATTTAATTAATCTTAGAAATTACTTATTTACGTTTATCCTTAAAAATATATAGATAATTTTTCTTAAAACATAAGGTAATATGTACGTTCATCCTTACAAATATATGGATAATTAAGTGGTCCAACTTGTTTCCATAAAAGTTATCAATGACAATATGAAAAAAAAAAAAAAGTGGGTTTTAGATTTTTTTTTTTTTTTTCAAAAAATATTTAAAGTATGGAGATTCAAATTTCTAACGGTTTAGTTTAGAGTACGGTTTTATGTCAATTGAGTTATGTTCGGGTATATTATGATTATCTTTGAAATTTTAAAAACTATATTTTATTTTTCCAAACAAATTATTAAAAAGATATTTTTTTTCTTCTTCTTCTTGAGATTAAAATTCGTGAAATAAAATAAATAAATAAAGTATATAAACTAAATATATTTTTTTTAAGTATAAGATTAAAAAAAAAAAATTTAAAAACTGAGATTTAAACTTTTTTTTTTAAAGACCAAAAAATATAGTAATATATTATTAAATATATCAAAATTTTAATTTCTTGGCTGAATTAGTATAAATAAGTTATGAAATGAAAGAAGATTACAATTTGGATTTGTTTTTCTATCATAATAATTTAATGAAAAAATAAAATATAAAAATAATGGATCCAAAAATATTGGTAAAGTTTGCTTTTAATGAAAATAATGTGACAAATTAAAAGATGACACATGATAGTCCACATTTAATTGAACGTTGAAAATCAAACCAAAAAATGCATACCCATGGCATATAGTCAACCAAATTAATTGGTTCAATCTTATAACAATAAGTCAAACATGCAGCTAAACTGGCACCTACCATGTCTCATCAATAATTTGACTTACCAACGAATAAAACTTTAAAAGAAAATTCATCTTTAATTTCAATATTTTAATTTAAAGTTGTCATGGCGAGCTCTCAACTTATACACCACACAATAATGTTAAATTACTATGGTACGGATACTTATCGTATCTTATCCTTAAACTACGTATCTATAACTTTTATTTTTTTAATCTCTATTATTACCACTATTTTTTTGGGTAAGGTTTTGTCCTAACTTAATCCACTCACTCCATCTAATCCATTCACTTATTCTTTCATTCCATAAATAATTATAAATTTGGAAAATAATTTTATTTTTTAAATACTTGAAATAATAATTTAATAGTTTTTTAATTTTGATTTATTAATAGAAAACTAAATAATTTGTAAATTAAATATTTATATTTTAGAATGAATTAAAATTTCGAAAAAATTTATAACTTTTTTATTAAATTTTTTTTTTTTTTTAACATTAAAGATGATGATGATCTCTATTTGTGGGCGGTCATGCATTTGACGAAAGGAAACTCTTAAAATGAAGAAAGAATTTCCTTCCTAATTAAGCAACATCCTTACAATAGGGATATTCTAGACTGTCGACGAATAATAGGTACCCCACCTCAGACAGAGTTAGTGAATCGTGTAATAAGCGATTGCTTTGTTGGGTTCAAGAGCATTTGAGTCCGCTGCCGACCAACTACATAATAAGCACAATATACACTAAAAAAGAATGTATATATATATCAAAACGTTTTTTTAAAAATAATAATAATATACAATATCTAAAAGTTGCCTTAATTTATACTAATTTATTTTAAAAATCGAAAAAAGTCAGTTCCTTTCCGTGATGTCAATAATGCATTTATATATATTTAAAAAAAAGATCTTTAAAAACCTAATATCTTTAGAAATTTAATTAAAGTAGTGCATTTTATTAAAAAAAAAAGAAAGATCTTTAAAATTTTAATTAAAGCAGTGCATTTTTTCCGGTGAACCAATTTTTCTATAAATACTTTACCTGGATAATAATAAAAATAATACTAAAATAAAATAAAAAGTACTTCAAACTATGCAGTTTTCTTTTTCTTTTTTCCTTTTTTAAATAAGTATGCGTCTTGGTATGAGATTTTAAAAATACATTAAAAAATTCCATCCCCACTTAAAGTTTGCAACAACTCTGAAATCATTTAATAACAAAATTATTATTGCATTTCTAATATTGGAACAAACTGATACTACATTCAAATGAGACTATCTTAAAAATATGATGGTTCGAATATACTTAAAAGAATTAATAATTACTCCATGCAACTTTACCATTATTGACTGTCAAATTCTAATCTAAATCTAATGGTTGTTTTATATTCTAAAAATAAGGCTAAATCTTAACCCACTGTCAAATATAAATATAAAAAATTAATTAATAAAATAAAATAGATAATAGATAATTTATTTTTTTAATTTTACTTTTCATATTTGAGTGATTCACAGGTCAATATGCATTAGGAACTTGCAAATATAAAATGTTTTATTGTATATCTTAATTACCACGTGCCAACACAACCAATTTATTGGTAAACAAAATAAATAGTAATTTTCTCTATAATTTAAAAAAAAAAACCCTAATTTTAAAGATTTACGTATCATAATCCACTACCAGACTTATAAATATAATAATTATTAGCAAATAAAACAAGTGGTAGTAACATTAAAAAAAATTGTAGGTTTTTTTTTTCCTTTTTCGTCTTAGTGAGTAACAGGTCAACGTGCACTAAAAGAGCTATAAATAAAGGATTAAATTATAAAAATTACAATATAATTAATTTTAAATTTGCATGTGATATTTAAAAGTTGTGATTTCATCTACATATTTTAGTTTGCTAAATTTTTTTTGGAACATTTAACAATTCCGTTATAATTAATTAATAAATGCAGCAAGTAGTAATCATTTTAAATCATTTTTTCCCACTTTTTTGTGTACTAATTATTGTTTATTGATGCAAAATTTTGGATAAAGAGAATGTATTCGAATTAACAATAAAAGGCATGCGGACGTGAGTTTGTCACACACTCCAAATTTGGGTAAATTAAATTTCTACCTAAAATTATTTGGCTCTGACAAACTCGACTAGAGATGTTTGTTTAACCTGTAAGATCAAGGCCTCACAGATATCCAAATGTGAGAGACTGTGGAGAATTTATATCTATATATTATGTATAATTGAGAAAAAAATTTCTTGGCTCTCCTCACATAAATATAAGAACAATCATAATAGATTTGAAAATATAATAATAAAACCACTTTTTTCCCTTAACCTTTTCCCATATGTACGGAAGACTTGCGAATTAATTTGATTCTGCACTTTAATATATTTTAAAATTATTTTAAAACTATTTGTCAATTAATTTGAAATTAACTACAAAATTTAATTTTAAATTATATTAAAATTTTAATGATATTTTAATTTAAATAAAATAAATTTTTTCTTTTAAAACATAGCTATTGATGGGTAAGGCATTACGCACTAAGAACTTAGAAAATATATTTTTTTTAAAGATCATTAAAAATAAATAAAAACAAAGCAATAATGGTTAAGGTTAAATACTTTAAAATTTTAATTAGATGCCTTTCCGTCCTTAATTTTTAATATTATTTATTGAGATGAAATTGGAATATTAAAATTTATCTTTTGAATTTGTAAGATGTATATAAAAATGGTGGGGGAGAATTATGGAGTGATATAAAAGGGTTGTTGGTAGGGGTCAATTATGGCATTTAGATGGCATATTCTTCACTTGCTCAACTAGCATAAGAATGTGTTCGCACGTGTAAAGCTATGTTTGGTATGCTTTTTGATGGACTACTTTTCATCCAATATTTTTAATATAAATTATTTTAAATAACGAGATATTCGAATGAGATAAAATAACTCACTTTCATGTTGGATGAAAGTCTCATATCGGCTAATTTAGCGAATGATCACGGAATGCTGTCTCCATTCATTTTGGGGAAGCTCAAAGAAAAGCCATGAGAACTTATACTCAAAGTGGACAATATCATACCATTAGAGAAAGTCGTGCTCATTAGGGAATAATCGACTCGAGGCAAGGTTGACTTGTTAACTTAAAATTCAACCCAAATGTCCTTTCACGTTTGGTGAGTTGTTGAGCTTTTTAATCTTATTTGAACTTTGATTTTTCTCGTTTTTGTGTTCGTCCTTAGGGCCCAATCTTACGCCTAACATATATATTATCGAGATTTTTCAATAATAATTTTACATTTTTCTTTGGATAGTTGATCGTGTTTTTAATAAACTAATCCAATTTTTAAGTAAATTTTATTTATAAATAATTTTAATTAAAATCCATTGTTTTTATTTGATTGATGGAAGAATTTATAGATTTTGAAAGTAGTTGGGGGTGATGGTATATAATCAACAACAATAATTAATTTTTATAAATTTTAATTTGTGTTGTTTAATAATATCCAATTTTAGTTCCAACCAACCCGTATCAATGTTGTTGAACGACCATTCTTAATCAAATGTTTAAAGATTGTACGGTATTATAGTTTCGACTAAACAACTCCTTAATCTTCCAACTAAAAAATTGTTAATAAAATACATATCCTAAAAATAAAATAAAATAAAAATGGGATTACTACTTTTTAAATTAATAATAAATTTACCATTTCATAACTCAAATTATTAAAAAAATAATGTTATTAGAGATTCAAATCTCCACGTCATATATTACTCACCTAAAAAATTGAACTAGTTTTTTTTAAAAAAATTTAATTTTCCCTTTAGTTTCTTAGTTTTTTTTAGTTTAGTGTTTGAATTTAATAGACCATCCTCGTAGGCAAAAATTTAGTTTAGGATAGGCAAAAATAATAGACGCGTTTTAAAATCGTGAGATTGGCTACTGTAACAACCCAGCTAGCAGATATTGTCATCTTTGTGCTTTCACTTTCGAGCTTCCCCTCAAGGTTTCAAAACACATCTGATAGGGGAAAATTTTCACATTCATTTTAAATGGTGGTTTGTTCTCCTCCCAACCAATGTGGAACATCACAATAGATCAGAGCCAGACACCGGATGATGTACCAACCTTCTCGCTGTTCTCCGAAGGGGGGTAGACACAAGGCGGTGTGACGCTGGGTCCCAAAGGGATGTGGATTTGGGGGTCGTCTCACATCGATTGGAGGAAAGAAAGAGTGCCAGCGAGAACGCTGGGCCCTAAAGGGAGGTGGATTGTGATGTCTTGGTTGGGAGGAGAACCAACCACCATTTATAAGGTTGTGGAAACCTTCCCCCTAGTAGACCCATTTTAAAGCCTTGAGGGGAAACCCAAAGAGGACAATATCTGCTAGCAGTGGATTTGAGTCGTTACAGCTACGCTACGCAACGGATTGAATCGGATAAAATTTGTTAGCAGTGGGCTTGGACTGTTACAAATGATATCATAGCTAGAAATCGGGCGATGTGACAGTGAAGACAATGGGCACTAAAGAAGGCAGATTTTGAGATGTTGAGATGTTGAGAGGGGAACAACCTCTACCTAATAGTAGGCTTGGACTCTTACAACTTATTTCGATGAACGAATGTGATTTATTCAAACCGTCTCTTTCGTGGTGATTTCGAAACGAAACGTTACAACAGAAGTAGCGTCAAACTTTGGAGCTACAGAGATGGTTCCCATCCATGTGTTGGGGAAGCTATGTTAGGCATTAGGCCAAGAAAAATTAAATGAAGAAAAGGCCCACACTGGGTGTGGCTGCAACAGCCAGAGGTCATAATTGACCTATATTCCTCAAAGGGGCCCCTTTTTGAGCTCAATTTTCCACAGTTTCACATTAACCTCATGTTTTTTTTTCCAAGAGGTATTAATTTTTGTTCCTTCGCAAGGAATTCTCTTAGCAGTTATGGTTAAGATGGAGCCATCCCAAAACGAAAGAGCCTTCAAAGCTTAGAAATTGTGTTTGTATTTTAGGCCATGGGCCAAATTTGACTCTCTCATTTTCGTACTTATGAACTTACTTTGGGGCTGTCTCCATCCCAACACTGTTTGTTTTTCTAGAGAAAGTTATTGTTTTTCATGGCCATAAACTTCGTAACGAAATCTTCTTGCGATTGTGTTTAGATGGAGACAGTTCGAAAGAAGTGTTTAATTTAATCGTTTGAACTTTAGTTTGTAATAATTTAGTCTCTATACTTTAAAATTTGTAACAATTTAAACACGCTCGATTCTTAATTAGCTTAATAAAACAACAACCAACTAACCCTTTGACTTGACTTGGCCCTGGAGTGATCTACACATATGAATTAATAGAGGACCTCCATCAAGCTTCAAGTATCAGCATAGAAGAGAGAACGAGTTAGATAAAAGCTTTTCAAATGGTGTCAATGGACAAGATTTCAAAGACCTAGAAATGAATAGGGGTGAGCATAGAATCTGAAATATTGTTCAAATTAGTTGAAATCAATCGACATTGACCCTAACCGTGAGCCTCCATCGACCTCTCGCTCTCGCCCTTCTATTTACTATGGCTAGAGATGTTCTTATGATATAGGTTAGTGAGAAAGAAAATGAAAATGGTTTGAAAGACATATTACTTTATTTTCACTGCTTGTTGGACTTCATGACAAAATATTAAATAACTATTGATTCTCTTTTGAAATAATGCAAAATAAAAAATAAAAAAGTTTTTCTCACTATTAGACCGTTGAAAAGAACTTGAAGAATTGAAATGTTAATAATTTTGTTTTTCATTTTTTTATTCTCATTGGATAAAAAGACTTCGAAGGCCTTGAAATTTTTTCAAAGTTGTTGATTTAATGTTTTAAGTGTTTTTTTTTTTATTTTTAAGATGTTGGAAAAATGTGACGGAGTTTTATTTCTTTTCCAATTATGTTATCATTTCATTATTTGAATTTTATATTATGGATACAAATATGCGTGAATTTGGATATTATGTGATTGAAAACTTTAGATTAAACTATTATTATTTGTTTTTCAACCATAATCATGAAACAAATATATTATTATTTGTTATTTAATATTAGTTTTCGCTTATTATTTAAAAATATATGTTTAAAGAAAAAAATGAAGCAAAGAGAAATGGTAGGTTTTAAAACAAGAATGGGAGTTGGTTTGGTGCCAAAACTGGTGTACCCAATTGACCTGTTCCATTTTGGGCCGACCTACCAATAATTTCACATTTCTAGTTAGGGTCGGATAATTGAACGCCTACGTAAAGCTAGCTTTGAGATTAACGAATTTATGGTCTACATGTTTGGTAGCTAAGATAGCTCGGCCCTTTACAATTTCATAAAATTGTAAAGTAAGATTAAATATCCTATCTCGTCTTTACCTAAACAATATATATCTACAAGACTTTAGGGTTGTTCCAAATTGATTCGAGGATGTCGCGGTCTAGAGATTAGTAGGAGAATTTGCATGGTGTTTAGACTAAATACTAAAGTTTAGAAATTAAATAAATCACTTGCATTAAATTGTGTTGGAACTCTAAAATTAAGATACATAATGAACCAAAATATCCAATGAGTTGCAGAGGAATAAGCTAAGAATCACCAGAGAGTTTTGAAGAAGGGAAGTTTCATTGTTGGGGAAGAATGAAATTTCATATTATTTTACAAGACAACAAAGAATAAAAGGCTTCTATGAATCATCTACTTGTTGCACTATGATAAAGAATGCTCCTTCAGTACCCATATCAGTTATCGCTAATAACTACCTCTTCTTTCTGCTGTCTATTGGAAAACATTCTTTTCCTAAAACTTCAATTTCCAAAGGAAGATTACATTCAAATGTACATTCAAAAGATCTTAAGTCAGCTGACCCCAGATTGCAAGATTGGGAAGAAAGTCCAGTTGTTGCCTGGACTACTGGCTTCCTTCACACCCACCTTTTCGTTCGCCCACCACTCTGCACCGACCGAGGCTGTATTCTGCATTTCTCCTTTTGTTCGGTCGAAGTTGAACTCTTTGAACGAACCGAGAGTTACAGCTCGTTGATTTTGGTAGCATCGATTGTCCTCTCCTGCAGCTTGTTCGGGTGCTGTGGAAGAAGTCGTCTTGATGTCAAAGAACTCATAAGTTTCAGCTTCTCTTGATGATGATTCTTTGTTTTCATTTTGATGACACTTTGGAGACGACTCTGATTCGGTTCTAATGGATGTCATTGACTTAATTGCAAGACAACGTGCAACATCTTCGCCTGTTAACTCAAATGACACCCTATGATTTGTCACATCATTTGGACATCCACTTCCTGAGTTGGCAAGGGAAGCCACCTCAGATATTTGGTTGTCCAACAATAGACCATCTTGCAAGGCATGCCCCAAACCGTCAGGCGTCAAGGTTCCAGAGCCCAATCTTGAATCTTGTCTCATGCCATTTGGGGTCACAGATCCAGATCCCAATCTCGAACCCATACCCATACCATCAGGGGTCAAAGTTCCCGAACCTAACCTAGAACCTAAACCAGTACCATCCGGCGTTAAAGATCCAGAACCCATTCTCGAGATCCATTTGCGAGTTGTAAAATGTTCAAGACCCAAGAGCTTGGGAGCATCAGCCATGCGAAACTCAAGAATGGGGTGCTTATCAGGGAAAGGAGAAGATGTACCAGAGTTTGAAATTACTGATCCAGGTGATATAAGATAGGCACCGGGGCTACCTGGATAGGGTTGATAAGGCTGGAAATCACAATGAGATAGTGCAAACTTGTGGTTAGTCCCAAAACTTCTATTAGTATGGCTTAGAGAAGATGTCAGCAATTTAGCAAATGGCACTTCAGGAGAGGAGGGTGTGGTCAATTGCACAGACTCAGGAGGAGGAGTAAAAGGAGCGGTTGATGGTTCAGTGGTGAAGGCAGAAAAAACTGGAGGTGAGACCAACTGGGTCTCATATGTATAAGGGCCTATTGCAAAAATGGATGCAGGTCCATTTGGGGAGTAGTTATTGACTGAAAGGGCAGTTAAAGAGAGTAATCCAGCCGGAGATTGACTATGTGATGGAGGTTCGGACTGGAGGAAAGATGCAGGAGAAGATGGAGGGGCAATGAAAGGTAATACCATTGTGGTTGAAGGTGGTCGGTGTTCAACAGCAGCAGCAACAGCTCCCGGTACCACAGGTTCCGGAACAAGTACAGCATTACTAATACGCTTACTGTTTTTCTGTGAACCGATTCCAAAACACCAGTACAGACTCCAGCAGCTACCCCATCTTCGTTTCTGTACTCAGATAACAAAAGAACATAAATCAAAAGACCAACAGAGCAGTACTAAGAACAATTGTTGAGAAATCTAAGATCTTCGGCTGTTATGGATCTTACTAGTATAAGCTCATATTCATCAACGGTTGAGTGTTAACAAAACAGTATACTACTTTCTCACCTCCTCGTGTCAGGCAACATAGCATAAGACTGAAAGGAAGAGAGCGAAAAAAACCACTCCATCCAATGGCCACAAAAATCAAATTAACCGAACATTTATGTTTCTGGGGCAAATTGATAAATAATTCACGTTGTGTTGGTAACCAAACAAACCAAACTGGTTCCAGAAAAGCTCTGCATAAAGAGACGGTCTCAGTTATCAGCCATTCATTCGGGTAGATGATATGAGGTCTATGAAAAGTGTTCTTCATTCTTAAGCTTAAAACTAAAGATTTTGACGGTTAATTGCTCCAAGATAAGAAGCGGTATGATAGCTCAATAACCGCACCTTCAGGAGCTTAGAATCTTCCTTTAAACAGATGCAAATTTTTGTCTGTCCACATTAAAAGAAATCTCAGCCTAGGCCAAACTCAACCTTACTAGAAAAAACTGAAGCCTAGAAGAGCCGAATTAATTGATACACTGTATACAGCTGCAAGATCCACTATAAAAAAACAACTAACTCAAGAAATCTAGTGAAGTACATAAGATCGCTAATTAAATTGATAGAAGTTCCTCGATATTGACAATCTTACACCGAATGAATCAATGTTCCGAAGGAATTTATTGCACAGAAACTAGCATTTCGGGCTTGTAATTAACTACCGAACAACCTCATGTTCTCATTCCTTTCTGTTTCGAAACAAATTAAAAGTAACTTTTCAAGTTGCTTTATCCTCAACTTTCAGCAGTCAGACTAATTAAGCAACAAATTTTCGGGAATTTAACCTCCAACATCTTCAGCCAAAGAAAAAAAAAAAAAAGCAACACAGTAATAGAAACCAGCAACCGAAGCAGAGAACACCAAATCAAAATCTTCGAATCAAGAAATAAAGAAAAGCGTAACCAACACGGTTTTCTCAAATCAGAGAAAATCAATCAGGTCATCAACTTTTATGAGATTTTCCCCATCCGAACACAAAATAGCAAACCAACACCGAGATCAAAGACTTAATCCTCAATCAAATTATCGCACTATTCTCAGTTTCAAAGTAAAATCAGACAACATAATAAAGTAAAAAACCACCTACCGGAGGCGTCGGAGGCTGAACACGAGCCTCAGCGGAGATGATCGCAGTAGCAGCAGCATTAACCGTATCCACGCTGTTGTTCATACTTCCCATCTCCACCTTCTGCCAATCCAGATAGCTCTACCGCCGGACTCTTCAACAAGTTCGCCGTGTTTTCTGACCAACCTACCGCCGCTAACTCCCCGGCAAAATCAATTACTCGCCAGTGAGATCAGAGTTGACAGCCAAAAAAAAGAAACATAAACGACTTTCGGATTTGATCTAAGAAATGAAAAACTCGGGGCCAAGGAAGAGAGGGATCGTATTTTCTCATTTTATATATTTCCAATTATTTATATAATAAATAATAATAACCTAAATAAAAAATAAAAAATATATAAAATCTGGAGTCTGGTTGTCTCTAAAGTCGAGTTGGGTGCCTCGTCCGGCATTTATCCTCTGATTTCCGCAATTTTTAGTAATCATTTAGAACCGATAATCCAATGGGACCCACTTCAAAAATTCATAATCTTAAATTATAATATTAATGGCAACGCCCATGATGACTCCATAATTACTATTATTTTCATTTTTTTAAAAAACACACAAATTTATAAAAATTTACTTTTACTGTTGTTTAAGAAAGTAAATTTCCAGATAATCGTCCTTCCATTTCATAGATATGGACAAAAATATAGTTATTTTAACTTTTAAGTTACCTGGTTAACCTGTCTCCATAAATTACCTTTATTTTTTTTAAAATCTAAGATATTTCAAAAATTATTTCCAAAGCCCCATTCCACTTTGTTTTGCCATAAAACTCCCTTGAATTCCAATGGAATTTCATTTCGAGAATGAGGGTATATTTGTAATTTCACAAATTTTGGATTATTTCAAAATATTCATAATTTATAGCACACTCTTGCATAATTATTTGTTGACCCACGTATTTTTTAATACGATAAAATTTAATTAATTTATGAAAATCCACCTCGGAAATTAGAAGTTAATAATAAGCCCCCCTGAAGAGATGCCCTTGAATTTAGATGAAATTACAAAATTAGCCCCAGGGAAATAACTGCAAAAGTGTGGACTTTAAATGCCTCTCTCCAACAACAAAAGGAGGTGCGTGAGATGCTCGTGAGCTCCTTGTGGTCTCATTTATGCGATTGCTACACCCCGGCACGTGACCCATGTGACTGTCATTCTGTGGGCCATCAGATCTCCACCGATCTAATTTAAGATGCCTCATCAAAACAATTATAGCCGTTAAAATATTTCTATAATTTTTAACATTTTATTAAATAATTTTTTAAATGTTGAGCAATTTAAAAAATAATGGTGATGATGACACGAGTAGTGGAGGTGACGTAATTCAAATTAATGAGAGTGGCAAGCAACGTAAATATAAGCAAGTAAAAGGGCGATTTATTAAGTAAGTAAAAGTAATTTTTTAATGGAAATGAATTAATTAATAATTTTTTATTTTTTGTAGTAACATTTAATTGGAAGCATAATCCCTATTCCTCGCGCAAGTTGTGCACGTGCGCAGATCCACTTGGTTTCAGATTATGGATTTGGGTGTCAAAAAAAGTGACTTTTTTGCCCCTTTATTTCTCTCTCTCTAGATTAAGCTTGCACGAATGGTTCCCCGTAGCCATTATCCTATTGCTTTCTGATGATGATATCTCAACCTCTTCCTTGGCCTCATTTACTTTTTATTTATTTATTTATTTTATTTTTTATTTTTTGCCTTTTGATTGACAGCTAACTTTTTAACTTCTTTTTTATTACTTTCATCTAATTATTATTATTATTTTTGGTGTTTTCCTTTTATTTCCTCCAGCACCTTGTTGCTTGAGAGGTAAAATGTTTCACTTTTTAATATCAATAAACACCCCCTTTGAGTTTGAATTTTAGTGCCTATGCCCTGGCCTTTTTATATATATGAAGTCGTTAGAGCATACGATGAGGGCAATCGGTTTGGTCGGCAAGGAATTGTATATAACCTTCTACATATAAAACGTGCGTACCGTGAGTTCATTTGTAATGTAGCTATAAATGGGCCGAGACCCATCTTAATTTTTTTAGGTGGGTTTGTGCACGTGTGAATTCATTTATAACCTAGCCACAAATGGGCCTCGACCCATACTCTTTTTTGTGCATGTATCTAAGGTATTCGTCTATCTAATGTAATAGCGTTGACATACTCAAACTAGTTTTGCAACAGTGTTACGAATTTTCTAGTATCATAATGTTGTTCTTGTAATTACTTTATAAACGGAATAGACTAATTGGTTAAGAAATGATAAGAATAACTATAGTGATAGAGACTAACATATGTAAAGAATGATTTCACCTTCCCTTTCTGTTACTTTTACAATCAAATAAAATAGAATATTAATGAGCATTTAAAAATATATTTTTAATCATTTATGTAGAAATAAAGGAGAAAAATTAAAAGGAATAATTTTATTAAAAAAAATATATTCGTTTTTAAAAAGAATATATTCCCATTCATTTCCTCAATGGATTTTGTCTAAAAAGCTGGAAAAGGATGAGCACATAAATAATAAAAAAATAACAAAAGTAGAGAATTATTCCACCGTTAGGGCTTTCCCAAGGTTTACACGTGTGTTAAGTTAAAAATAAATAATAAAAAGTAACATGGGAAAAGAAAAATAGCATTTTTTTTAATTAAAAAAAAAACTAGTCGTGGGGCCCACCAAAAGAGTGGAACTGTTGGATATTTTCCTCAAAACTGACCCCTTTTATGGGGTGGCTGAGTGTATTTTTGGCCCCACATTGCAAAACCTAAACCAGCATACCACATGTTTGAGTTATAACATTTAAAAGTGACACATATATATAAATATGTGTGTATTACATTATTTTATATTATATGCTTTTTCCAGAAAAGATAATACTGTGATTATTAAAAATGAATAATATTTCTAAATAAATGTTTTTAAAATTATTTATATTAACTAAAAAAACTATAGCCTGTCTCATTGATTAAACATGTAAAGTTAATTATCTGTGTTTTAGAAAATTACATATTTTTGTCATTTTGAAAATTATTATTCTGGACCAATATTACATGAGCAACACGCATCCCAAATGGGCCCAACAAAGAGTGGCCTGTTGTAGACATAAGCACATAAGTCCATTGGGCCCCAAACAAGCATACCCGAAATTCCAACAAACAAACATGCTTTGACCCGACCCGTAACCGACCGGTTTTCTCTCCTAGAAATCATCGTCGCCGTACCCAAGATCATCCTCCACCCTCTCCGCCGCGTCCTCGGCGATCTTGTCCTCCAAGTATTCCACGCCTTCTCCCAAGGCCAATCCACCTAAGACTCCGGCCGCGGCACCGATAGCCAATCCGGTCCCCATCCCGTACTTGCTCTTCTTCTCCTCTGGATGCCCGTAAACCTGATCGCCATACGCTGGCTGCCCGTAACTCGGCTGCCCGTACGAAGGCTGCCCGTAATTCGATTGGCCATACGGCGCCGGTGCATTATACCCGCCATAGGGGTATCCGGACGGCGGGGCCGTCGAATAGTAAGGATCATGAGGAGCAGAGTACGGAGCAGCATAGGGCTGCGGCGGTGGCGGAGCAGAAAAATCCCTGTTCGTACCTGGCGGTGGGACCCCATACGGCGGCGCGTAGTAAGAATCGGAGGGTCGGTAACGTGGTTCTCGAACCGTTACTTTAACTTCGATCTTCCCTTGTGGCCTGCCGGATGGCCGTTTCAATTGGAGAGTCCGCTGAGAGCGTTCACCGAGGCCAACATCGTCGACGACCTCAGAGAGGTGAAGCTTGGCGGAGCCGATCAGCGGCTTGGTGTCTTCGTCACCGGAGACGACGTGGACCACGTCGATGTAAAGCGTAGAGTCTTCAATCGGCGATGAGAATGGAATGACTAACGTTTCGTCCCAGTACGGCGACGTGTCGCCTTCAGCATCGACCTTCGTCGACGATTTACTCTTCGGATCAATCCAAACGACGGCGTAGGGTTTCAGGCCACCGTAACGCCAATTGATGTTCTTAAGATCTTTAGCGGACAGGATTTTCACTTCCACTTCGTAGCGAGAGGCCATCGCTGGTGCCGCGGCCAGAAAATGCCGTTCAACGATTAATTGAGAGAAGAGAATCGGATCCTAACGCGTTGCTTCTGGCAAAGACGTTGCTTCAGACATTTATAGGGGACACGTAGCCGCTGGACCATGCTGTTACGAAAACTGCCCGTATTTTTATAACTTAATCACGAAAATGCCATTAATGACACGTCGCATGTAGTTAATTCAAAATGACGTTATTCTCCTTTTAGGTATGGAGGCTTCCTGTTCTGGCCAAGGGCAATTCTGGGAAGGCAAACAGTTGGGCAAGATGCACGAGGGAAGGCATTCGCTTAATTTCTAAGCAAGCTGACGTCATGGTGGGACCCTTATTAGTAGCTTCTTCTCATCCCTCTTCGTTGTCTAATTCGATGCTGTTAATTATTCTATTTGTTGGTATTCACTATTTTTCATTTTGTCATGTATAAACAAGAGGGTAATATGGTAATTTAAATAAGAAGCAAAATCAAAGTAGATTTTATAATTCAAAAAGAAAAAAGAAAAAAAGGGAGGGAGTGGGGCCCACGCGGGATGGACGCGAACGCGAATTTGGAAAATGGACGCGGACACGAAATTGTGGCAATCGTAGCCTTGAATTCAATTTAGAATACCAAATGTGTCCCTTTCAAAGCATGCATGCTTTTCCCTTTTTGTTTCTTCCCTCTACTTCTTGTCACCAAAGGAGAAAAAAGATCTTACGTGTTGGACTATAAATCCTATGAATTATAATTAATTAAATTAGCGTTTACGAGTTTAATATACGATCTGAGCTCGTAGAATTGCGAACCGCTCAGCTAATTCCTTTCCTCCTTCAGCTCGAATAGACTAACTCGATGAAATCCCCAATATCAGAGTAACCCAGTTGAATCTATTTTCTATAGATATTCAAATAAAAATTTGGAGACTGTGAAAATCACGAACCACCCCACCAATTACTCGTATTCTTTAGGCTCAAATATGGCTTAATCAACATACTCTCCAATCTTAAAGTAACGAGGTGGGTCATATCCCTTTTTTTCGTACTATCAATATTGACACTTATAAATTTGTAAGTCTCTACAAAATCAACATTTTAATTTATATTTATTTACTTTATAAATTTTTTATATTGCATCAAAGCCTAACCCTAAAAATGTGTATAATATAAAAGTCATCAATAATTAACTTATTATTATAAAATAGAATTTTAATTGAAGTAAAATTCATAACAAACTCTTTATTATATTTTATAGGAGACTTAGATGAATATTTAATGAATTAATGTATTTCCTACTGGTTGAAGCTCTCGTATTAACTTAGTTGTACTTTTCGCCAAACTTTGTTAATGTGATGTTGAGAATATGCCATTCTTCAAAAAATTTATTAATAATGAGAATGAGAATATAACAAAACTTTACCTTTGCAGAAGATATATTATTCTCCTAAATAATTAAGAATCAATGTCCTATTTAGGAATCATGGAAATAATTTAGAATATTCTCATTCACAATTATAAATAAAATAAAAAAGGGACATTAAAAACTTCCATAATCATGTAATAAGAGGTGGTAAGAGGTGGCTGGAGACTATCCAAACCATTAGGCAGGGAATTAAAATTAAAATCCTAATTTATTTCCATTTTTTCTTTTAATTTATATATTTTTTAAGATATAATGTTTTTTAAAATTTTCGGTTAAACTATTTATTTCATTACATTAAATTGGTTGAATTATATTCATTTTCACTTTAGAATATATAAATTGAATCACAGAGTATTAAATTATAAAATTGATTCCAATAATCTAGAGAAAATTAAAATCTAATCTCTATAATTCTAAAAATTATAAATTATTCATGAGGTTTTATCGAGACATAATTATATATAATTTTTTTTAATATGATAAGACTAAATTTCAACCTTCATCGTAATTTAACTTGAAAAAGAAAAAAAACTTTTATATATTTTATTGGTTTAGAAAAATCTATTATAAAAGGAACGAAGCCCATCGGTTACGGATGCCCTTACAACCAACAGGAACTGGGCGTCCATGAATCGATGTAAGCACATTCGACAGTCCATTATCCAACACGATGTTATTGGGCCTTTTGCCTTCGGCCCATAACTAATGCGAACCAGTGGCATTTTTGAAAATAAACAGAAATTATGCTTTACATTGCCAAAAGTGAAACCCTAGGTTACCGCCCCCAAAACCTTATTTCTGAACCCGGTCCTCTTATTGCCGCCGCACGCAACCCCTATAAATTTAAAACCCTTAACTAGGTTCCTATACTTCGTCCCCGCGCTCTATTGTTCTAAAACCCTAGTGGAAACTATCCTTCGGCGCTCGCTCTATCGGTCACTGAAATGAGACCTCCTCGAGGTACGTACGAGAAACAAGTAGAGGTTTCACTCTTTTTGTTTCTGTTTGCTTGTTTGTTTTTTGGATTTTGAAAAAGATCCGTTGAATACAATGGAGAAGAATGTTTGTAACTTCATGTATTGTTGGTCTGTTTTGTTTTGATAGTTGAACGCGTATGAGCTTTTCCATTCTTACTACTTACTGAGCTACTATAAAATATCGTTTACTGGTTGTTCGATTGTTTGCTCCAGCTCTTTAGTTTACTCTGTTCTCTTGGAGTTGTCTAGCTTTCGTGTTCTTTTAATCTCTTACTTGATTTTTATAAATATTTCGTAGCGTGTGTTTCACCTTGCACGAGTCATTTAATTTTAATAAGTTTGATATGTGCAGGCCGCGGTGGTGGTGGTGGGTTTAGAGGAAGGGGTGATGGAGGAAGGGGTGGTAGAGGCAGAGGTGGCGGTGGAGGTAGAGGCTTCGGTGGAGGCAGAGGTATGGCAAGCCGCGGTGGCGGTCGTGGAGGTGGAAGAGGTCGCGGTGGAGGAAGAGGAGGTGGTATGAAGGGGGGAAGCAAAGTTGTCGTTGAACCCCATAGACACGAAGGTATTTTCATTGCAAAGGGTAAAGAAGATGCTCTTGTCACTAAGAACATGGTCTCTGGTGAATCCGTGTACAATGAGAAGAGAATATCCGTACAGGTGATTCACGTCTAACAGTATTATGGCCCTTTAGATGCCTTACGCCTGAATAGTTTTTAGTTTCAAGAACTTCGATGACTAGTGTTCGATATACTGTTCTGTGATGATTTCTAGTCAGTATTATAATGTCCGTATAAGTGGTGAATGTTAATATTTTTGTTACTCGAATCATTTATACGTCGACTATTGTTATAACTTCAAATAGCCGCAATTTTTATAAGTATATAGCTGTTTTCGCTTGTTGCTTGGAAGCTGTATGCATAGCTAATTGAAATACATGTACTGTCCTTCCAGAACGAAGATGGAACAAAAATTGAATACAGAGTTTGGAACCCATTCAGGTCTAAGTTGGCTGCTGCCGTTCTTGGTGGTGTTGATGACATATGGATTGTAAGTGCTTCTCACCTCATATATGGTGTTCTAGTCTTTTATCTGTGTCACTCTTCGTTTTCCCATTATTTAATTTGTAAACGTATGTACTGTAGAAACCTGGTGCGCGAGTGCTGTATCTTGGTGCTGCTTCAGGGACTACTGTATCTCATGTCTCAGATGTCGTTGGACCTGTAAGTAGTTATTTAAGGAGTATCTTCAGTAATTTTCATTTAGTAAATGGTTGTTAACAATTGTTGCTGCTTTGATTTGCAGTCTGGTATAGTGTATGCCGTTGAATTCTCCCACAGAAGTGGTAGAGATTTAGTCAACATGGCTAAGAAGCGTACAAATGTTATTCCCATCATTGAAGATGCCAGACATCCAGCCAAGTACCGAATGTTGGTTGGTATGGTGGATGTTATCTTTTCGGATGTTGCTCAGCCAGACCAGGTTCGCATCTTTTCTTTTTATGTGTTATCATTGTATGTGAACACCATCAACATAGCTGAAATTTGTTGTCGTAGTTCTTTTGTTTATATAGTAAATAGAATCTAACTGTTGTTTCTTTTACCTTATTTTTTAACACCTTTAGACACGTACCTTTTGATGCAATTTCATCATTTTAATCGTCAATCCTTTTTATCCTTCAATTATTTAGCATATGACGATTTACTCGGATTCCCCTTCAAGACTTCTTGAATGATGCAAAATTCGAGTTTCTGATGCTTTAAATAACTTTCTTTTTAATTTTTATTTTCGTTTGTTTTATTTTAAAATTGTATTGTTCTTCCACTCCTTGTGGTTGGAGTTCTCATTTTCATTTCTTCGTTTATCTATTACTCACGGAATGTTTTTGTCATCATATTTTTTCATTCATTGCCATTTTATAGTTCATTGATTTAAACATAGTAATTGCATTCACTTCTACGTTTTGACATTTTCACCATCCAACAATACCTCTTTTTTGTTTAGTAGAGAAGGCTCTGACTTTTGCTGATACTTGAAATCAAAAGGCTCTACTTGGAGTTTTTGTTGTGCTCTTGGTTCAATACATTATTAATCAATATATTATGTTCTTTCTATATGCCCCCCCCCCCCCCCC